TATATATATATATATATATATATATATTCAAACACCTGATCCACTACCAAAAAATTGACTTTTCGCGGTACTTTTTTATACCTTTCCCGGCGGTTATACCCGCCACGAACCCCTGCGAATTTTAAAACCGGTGCAAAGAACCGCTGCGATAGGTCGCATTTTTTGGTAGTGTGAATAAATTAATACACTATAAAATTTAAGGACATTAGATTTTTAAGCAAGTTATTCTTATTCTTTAGTACAGGAGTTTTGTCTGCCCTTAAGAGTTGATGATATATACAATTCATGAATCAGAATTGCATTTAGATTCATCTATTATTTATTTCTATTTTATATATTTGAATGTCCTGTGAATACTTTAATAAAATTATTTCATTCCTTAGGATAATCTTATCATTTATTAAGACGATATGAATTATATATTTGTTTAGGATGTAACTTTTTTAAAAGTTAAGTTAGTTTTTTTTTTTAATCTACATTACCAAATTATTATAAAGAAAAATATCATATTCTTATAAAGATATTAATATATTGAATTAAATTTGAATTAGTCTAACTCAATTTTTCTTTGTTGAATCCTTGTATACTTAATCCAACTAATTGAACATGACAAGTAGGCATAGCCACATCAAAGATTTTTTTTTTAATCTACATTACCAAATTATTATAAAGAAAAATATCATATTCTTATAAAGATATTAATATATTGAATTAAATTTGAATTAGTCTAACTCAATTTTTCTTTGTTGAATCCTTGTATACTTAATCCAACTAATTGAACATGACAAGTAGGCATAGCCACATCAAAGATGTTTTGAATCCTATCTATTTAACCTAACCTCTTCTCTAATTTATTATACTTATATTTCGTTCGAGATAACTTTTTTATAGCTTCTTAAAACAGCTTTTTAGTAATTTTTGTACTAAAAAGTTATTTTTAGAAGCTGTACTAAATGTTTAGAAGATTTCTAAAAATTTCAATCTAATTAGACACCTTTATCTAATGATTGTTTACTCTGTTACTATCATATTTTCATACGCACACTTCCCTAAAGCATATCTGGATGGAAGAAGCTTCAGCTGTATTTTAAAGCTTGAATATCTTTAGCTTTGTTGCCCCAAAAAAATTCTTATTTCTTTGACTTGAGACAGTACTTCAGCTGCGTCTAATAGTAATTTCAGAATAAAAAAAGCAGACTAGATCACTCATTTTATCATATAATTCTGTAAATTTTAGTACAAGGTCATCAGGAACACAATGAAGCCATGATACGCCAACTTGGTCCTGAATGTAGAATACCATATTATGTTAACAATTCATGTATTAGTGCTGTCACAGCTCACAGCTATAGTCCTGCTTTCTTCTTTCAATGTTTTTGGTTAAAAGAATTAGCAGATGCAATGAACTAAAGCTAGTATTTAAGCTTGCACTACTGTTTCAAGCTCCACTGCTGTTGCTGTAAGCATCAGATCTTTCTCTTCTTCGCCTTCCCAAATCTCAGGTAATGCTTCCTTGATGTTATGGATGCTCTCCAGTGTATGGTCCGCACCTGGCACCAACTCTGAGCTTCCAACCTGCGTTCAAAAATATATCCATCAGATCTTCATACACTAACGAGTAACGATCACGACAACTTTTCTTTGGGAACTTTTAATATGGAGAGAATCTGAAGAAGAAAGTCTTTTTTACTTACAATGACAGTATTCAGACCTGCTTCCTTCCCTGCTGCTATGTTTCGAGCACTATCATCAAAGAAGATCTGAAAGGAAAGATGTTCCAGTATTGAATTTATAGAGAGAAATGAAAAAGAAATCATTTTTATCTCAGTATGTGACTATGAGTTTCATCTTACAGTTTTTTGGGGATTAATTTTGGCTATTCTGATTGTAGTTTCGATTGCTTCCAGTGCAGGCTTGCAGAGAATTTTTGAAAAGCCAGTAGTTTTATTCACTGTGAGGTTGCTGTCGACCACCTCCAACTCCTTTTGATCAAGCGAAGAAATAGCAGCTTGATTTTCGTCGCCTTCATCATTAAATCTAGCGGGTGAATTAAGCGTTTCAAAGCAAATTACACCATGGAAGCAGTCCTCAAGTCCCAGCCTATTAAGTACTCTTTCAACATGAGCTTTGTCGGCATTTGTAAATATCTGCAGGTATCATTAGTCATCAAAACATGTTTAACATGAAAGAGTCTTAGGAGGCATCATTTAAAATCTTCAAGAGCCAGCAATCTTAAACTTCGTTTGGGACGCTTTCTTATTGCTTCTTAAAGTAACTTTCTAGTAAAAAATTAATTTTTTTATGCTAGAAAACTGCTTTAAGAAGCAGTAAAAAAACCGTCCAAAACGAAACCTTAGACACTAGATAAATAAAGCTAATAGATTGACATACTAATTTTCTCTGAGGCATTGATAGAAGTAGATTCTTCAACACTGGATCAGGCTTCAAAATCTCATAAGGAAGTCTTCCATGTACATAATCATGGAATTCATCATCATCGAAGTTGTAGCCAAGCGCCTGCAGTAATTGAAGTGAAGAATTAAAGTACTTAAAATTCCAGTCTTTCTTACAAAGTAGGATTGTTTATTTGTGAAATAGAGACGTTAATACCTTTAGGCCAGCCATTGTAGTTCCATATTCCTTGTACAAATCCAAACACATTCGTGGAACTAGGCTTTCCTCAATGTTTAGATGCTCACGCATGTAATCTACAAGTAAATAGAATCCTTTAACTCTCGATAATTAACAGATAATTTAAGATCACTATCAATTTTTTTTACTGTTTTTACTTTTGATTTCTTAAAACAAAACAAGCTCGAATCAATTTTTATCCTATAACATCCTCCCATGTAATATGCAATATAAACAAAAATAACATTTAGTTAAAATATAAATTATTTTTATTTCGCAGCATTTTTTAGGGGCAGTTTGAAAACAGTCGCTAAAACAAAATTTCGCATTGGTTTTAACCGTTGCAGCGGTTTTAACCGGTTCTATAGCCAAACCCTAGCTCTCATACACCGATGCGGTGTTCAACTTTTCTCTCTTTTATTTTGAACATGGAAGCAGATGAAGCAATTGTTCTCACCTTGTATGTTCTTGCGGCATGCCAAGTTTATGCCAGAGCTCAAGGGGTACAAGGTGTCATCCATATCTGAAACATGAAATTTGTAAATAATTATAATGAACTAGTTCTTTCTTTCAGAAGAAAGCTTCATAATTCAGAGAATTAAGAAGATTCAAAAAGCAGAACTACTGTTCCATTGCTGTTGTAAGGAACATGTAAAAACCTACCAAAAAGCAAGCACTCATACTTGGTCCCATTTGTTATGGACTCCATCAATACAACTTTGGTCTGCAAACAGTATAGAAAATATTCATCAAAAGCAGATGATTCTCTCTTTCAGAAACAAAATAATTTCCAAAGCATCGATCTCTGGAAAAAAAATAATACTTTAGCAGAAAGAATTACCTCCAAATAAGTAATAACAATCGAATGGCTTCCCCCAAGTAAGAAGAGTTGCTCGTGAAAGGCTTTGAGGAGAAAGAACACCCGAGGAGTGCCATTTATACACGCTAGCACATGCAACTTGGTGAGATAAAGAGGGAATGTAGAGAGAAATCAATAACCAAGAAGGAACACAGAAGCATATTAATCTTACGCATCTTCTTGTGATCTTAGTGCTTCACACGCAGATGGATAGTAGCAAAAGATCCATATGCTAGGGCATAAGGACAGCTCAGCTGGGTTGGCATGCCGGCTTCAACATGAAGCGCTTTAATCACAGCCCGGCATGATTCTAATCATCGTTTTGGTACTTTTATTTTCAATCAAGATCTTTTTGCAGTTAAAGATCATCTCCAACCCAAAAAATTCATTTTACTCTCAATTACTTATTTTCAATCGAACTCTATTTCATAATATCAAAAAAGAATACTCCAATCTAAAAAAAGACGTAAAATGATGTTTGTGAACAGTGCAACACTAATATTGACGTCACACTATTCACCTGGCACAAAATGCAATTGAATCTAGCATTCAGTTGGAGCTCGCGGCGACTGCAACTACTCGTTTGATGTTCGATTGGAGATGCCCTAAGATGATAGGAATATAAAAATTATATGATACAAAGACATGATATGCTTATTATTGAATATAGGATACTGACATAAATTAAATATGGAATTATAATATTATATCTTGAAATAAAAAAAATTAGATAGTAATTATATAAATTAATTATTAGAAAAAATAGTACACAAGAAAAAGAAAATTAGTATTTAATTCTTAAATTATTTAAGTAATATATCTTAAATTAAAAGAGAATGGATTATTCAAATTAAGTTATTTATATAATATATATTTGAAATTATAATTTATAATTTATAATATGGTTGACCTTTAAATTTTTTAAATTGGATATATAAATAGTGTTTTTCAATGAGCGTGTTCAATAAATACATATATCATATAGATGATATTTTTTCTGCATATATGTGTTGAATAAATACATTTTCCTCATAACATGCTTCATTATTTTATAGTATATCATTATTTGTTCTGAACTATACATTGGTAAGTGAAATTATTCTGTGCGGATATGAATGTCATTTGGAGGCGAATCAGAACGTGTCACATCACCCGTTTGTTGTGTACCTACCGCAGTTATGTACCAGGTGATGTGACATGTTTTGATTCGCTTCCAGATGGTCCGATGTCCGCACAAAATAATGTGGAGAAAATAAAATAGGCGTTTTATGATGGGTCTGTTTGGGACCGCTATAATTTCTTATAAAAATGATTGTAAAGCTGGTTGGGGAAAATAGTCTATGTGTGACATTTTGTTCATAAATAGCTAAGAGTTTCAAGTGTTTAATATGTTAAATTAAATGAGTTATTAAATATTATGCACTTTATATATACTTCTTCTTAATTGGACTATAATAGAGCATGAATGATGAAATGAAAACTCTCCTTGCTGACTTCTTCTTCTTCTTCCTCTGAATACTTCTTCTCAAACCTCCAGTTTCTAAAGTTGCCAGAGAGTTTAAAATTGTTGTTTATTGTCGAGATCCTCTCGATCGAGATCATAACATCAGTGCTCGCCTGTTGCCTGTACATGACAAGTTCCCTTCTCCCATTGGTGTCTTCCTCAAGCAAGAGCCGGCCACTTGTCTTAGAGCTCCACCATAGTTCCACAGAGATCGAATTCTTTTCCTTTATAGAGGAATTTTAGGTGAATATGTCACCTAAGTTGTGTATGTTGTGGAAAGCCAACTTTTAGTGGAAGATGCCGAGGATCATTAATAGACTATTTGTCAGCAAGAGGTTTCTGAACTTTAGAGAATTAGGCTTGGTTTGCTACGGCTTTCTTTCTGCTTGTTAAAGCAATTTTTTAGTATAAAAATTACTGTTTTAAAAAAGCTACTTTAAGAAGCAATAAAAAAGCCGTTCCAAATGAAGCCTTAAAAGACTTGAATTAGTTATGGTATTGTTCCACTAGCAGTGAATGTTTTGATCGGCATAAGGATGGATTACTTTGTGCTATTCGTCCACAGTGACTTGTCGATCTGAATATCAGAAAAGGGAAGGAAGAAAGTATATATTCTAATGAAAAGTTGGCGCAGTTGATGAGTGAGATCAGTGCTGACATCAAGCTGTAAGCGAGCGTTTGTGAAGCTTCTTCTTCCAATCACCGAAATGAACCGCAGCAAGTTGATGAGAGGATTTTAGATTTGTTTAATTTAGTAGGCATGTTAATTTGATTCGATTTGAATTTCTATATTTTTATATTCTGTTTATAGAAATAGTTGTATGAGTATTGAAAAAATATGTTTTGGTGCTTGAACTTGAAAACGAAATGATTTAGGCTTTGTTTAGGATAGCTTTCCTACTGCTTTGCATTTCATATTGCAACTGTAATTTTTGTTTTCCTACCGCTTTTTCATTGCTTTTCAGAAATTTTTGTGCCAAGAAGCAATTTTTGTTAGTAACTTTTAAAAAAGTTGCTTTCCCTACAAATAGTTTTATAACCATTTTTAGAAAAAGCTGTGGCCGTCCCAATGAACCATTGGACTTCTTTTGGGACAGTTTTCTTATTACTTTTCTTTTTAGACTATAACCACAATTTCATTTTGGCAACTATTTTTTTGTTGCTTCAAAAAAAAATTTGTACCAAAAAATTTTTTTTACAATAGTTTTAAAAAGTTACTTTATCTATAGTACAGTTACATATAATGTATCATATGATGAAAGTTGGAATTACCCTATAGCATGAGACTATGAGAGCTATATTTAACAGATCATTTGCTTGTTCATTTGAGCATATTCCTTTAAGTAGGGGAGATAAGAGAAAAAAAATCAAGCATAACTAACAATGAGAGTAAGAGTTAGTGTTAATAGAATACATCAATCTTATTGATAATGACATGCATTTGAATCATTGGTGATAAAATGGGATAAAGTCAATAGGTATTAGTGTACCCATGAAATAATAGTCTTTGGATCATAGTGGAGCAATGGGCTTGGAGGGCTATATTGTAGAAATGGATATTGAAAGATTGTAGTGAGGACATAGTGGTCATAGGACTGCAGTAAGGTGATAATGGTCAAAGGATCATAGTGGAGCAACAGTTGACGTATGATCGTTTTTTTGGTGATGGAGGTCAGAGGATATTAGTCAGGTGATAGTAATCACAGGATTATAGTTGGATGACATTGGTCAGAGATTCGTAGTCAAACGATAGGGTTTGAATGACTACAATCGAGTAATGATTATTAAAGGACTTAAGTTAGGTGATGGTCCTTAGAGGATTAGAGTTGATTTATAGTGCTCAGAGGACTAAATTTGGGCAATGATGATGTAAGGATAACAGTGGAATGAGAGTGTTTAGAGGATCATATATGGGTGATAATGATCAAAGGATTGTAGTTAAGCAATACAAGTCAGAGAAACATAATCATGTGAATGTGATCAAGAGGACCATAATCAAGCAATAGTGGTCAGAGGACTATAGCCATGTGAAAATGATTGAAGGATATTAGTTGAATAATAGTAGTCAGAGGACTTTTGTTAGATAAGGACGATCAGACAATGGTCTAATTATGGTAGTAAAGCAATCGTGCTCTAATGGAGCACTAGGATACTTCAAACCTCTTAGCATTTTAGAGTCTCATGCCAAGATTTAAAGCCCAACTCCAATACACTCTATCATGTAAGGAATAGGGCTTATTTATGGATTTTTTAGAGTGGCATACCTCATAAATATAGATCAAATTTGGAACACCCCCTCGAACAGTCGGTATTTACTCCCTTAATAATTAATAATTCTTTCCACCTTTAGGTTTCTTAATGTGGTCAAAATTAAATGATTTTGGGCTCATTGGACATCGTATTACCATCTAATTAATGTACACATGTCTCTAATTATTCTTTGAGTGGGCTCATTCCAATTAATACTTGGTTCATTAAGTTTATCTTATTTAGATATTGTATTCAACTATAAGTTTGCTTAAATCAAAGTTTAGATGGAACTAAATTTAGATTTAAAAGTTTCCAATTCAACTATGCATCGAGATTCATGCCCGAGCAAGTTAGTTTCTTAAGATATAAATTATCATATATTATAGCTATCCCAATAAGCTTTCTTAATTCGCCATAATATCAATGGACTAACTTTTAAGCACTTATATTACTTAGTTATTAAATTCTTGAAACAACTTATAACTTGAACTCCTATTACAAAGTATTAATCTTACTCTATACATCTCTAAGCATCTCTTAATTTATTATAAATGTATACAAGTCTTTCAAGTTTCCATCCTATAAGGACAATCATAGATCTTTCAAACTATAAACTAATGGTTATCTTTTTCTCACATGATATGCATTCCATTTTATTCTTAGTAGCCATCATTCTTTTCTTTCATTCCCAACACAACATACATTTCATATGGAAACATAGTATAATATAAAGCATGTTATTCACATCGATAGATGGCCAATAACATTTGTTCTATTGTGGTCATGAAAAACATATGATTTGTTGTATTCCACGTCAATAAAACAAGTAGGAAATCATGTATTATTACATTTAAAGCATATATTAACCATAAAATAATATGTATGTAGGAATGTATTCATATCATTTTCCCAATGGAATTAAAATGATGGAATATTGTGCATGTTAGGTCACATGTAAGATATCATGTAGCATTACAAAATCTACTCCACATCATTATATATTGTTGACCTCATATTTATGTGAGGTCGATCATTCAAAATTAAATGTTCAATCATATTCACAAAACTTCCATCATGGAGTTCAATACCTTGAATGTTCTACAATATAGTAAAGTTCAACTTAATCACTATGTTTTCACATTGTGTTCAATCATTTAAATTTCCAATCAATCATTTTTAATGATCTTTAATCCTTGTAAATGTTAAATTCTTCAATCATTGACAATCAGACAATCCTGCAAAGATTGTCATTGGTTCAACCATTAAACCTTCATTCATCCTTAAATCATTCAATAAACATTAAATCCTTCAATCTATTTCAATCATTCAATAAAAGTCTAGATTAAAATTCAAAGTTTAAAATCCAAGTTCAAACCTAAACCTTAAACCTTTACTTTTCCCTTTTTAAGGAGATTTTTCATAGGCTCAAAATCTTAGGTAAAGCCCTAAAAATTGTGTTTAATCATTCATATTTTGATTAGACATACCTTAGAACTTACCTATTTATTTTAAAATCTTTTATGCCCTCCCAAAAACTAAAACTCAAAGCCTCTTCCCTACGCCCAAAACTTTTAAATATTTACTATGCATGCCGCACAATATGACATATTGGTCTAAACTTTTGGAGTTCATGAAAATATGTTGACAATCATCGTTGTAATAATTTGAACTCATTTGGGTCCATGGTTGACTTAGTTTAACTAAATAGATCCTTCAACCCTACAGAATTATCATATGCATGAATCAAATAATTTGAACTCATTTGGGTCCATGGTTGATCTAGTTTAACTAAATAGACCCTTCAGGCTTCAACCCTATAGAATTATTATATGCATGAATCAAATTGCAAACTTTAATCACCCACTCTCTCCCATTTCTTAGCTTTCTCCTTCTCTAGCGATTCTAGGGTTTTGGCTTGCAATCCTTCTCCATATTAAACCTACTGCATTTTCCTTTTGTTTTGATTAGATTCTGAGTGTTGTTTTAGTAGCTTGGGCTTGTTTGGCCCCTAGGAATTTTTTTTTTTTTATTAATCTTATGGTGTTTTTGTTCTTGCTCATTTTTTGTTCTTTGATAGTTCTTGGTTTGATGGTGGTTCCTCCATCTTCGATCCCTTGGGGCTATAGCAAATCTTCATCTATTGACAAGTTATTGGGTTTCACTGGCTTGGATAGTAAATCAAGATCTTTTTTAGCATAACATTATCCTCATACATTCTAATATTTTGAACCATCACTTGCAAGCTTTAGTGGTTACTAAGGCAATGAAAGGTATGACCTCTATGAATAATGATGTTTTGAATATTTCTTTAGCTCTTTCTCAAATGTTATGTGCTCGTAATCAGAATATGGCTAGCTTGCAAAATGTTACATTGGTTTCGTGTCAAAATGAGTATGTTGTTAATAATATTTTTTTTCTTTTGTCAATACTGAAGGTTTTGATAATGAGGTTTCTAATGATAATTTTGAATAGGTGGAAAACTCAGACATAAACAATTTGATGCTGGTTACTAGTGATAATATGGAGGAAGGTGAATTCATTGAAAACACATGCTTGGGTAATAAGTTCATTATTTACACTAATGATATTGTGATTTTCATGGATACCTCTTCTTTTATGGGAAAAAAACATGATGAAGATTTTTTGGAATAAAAATGATGGTTTCACTTAAAGCTGCTAAAAATAAATACAATGCATTTAAAAATGTTTTGCTTCAATCCCCAATGATTAAGAGATGTCAAAATCTCCAATTCTCCCCTAATATTTATATCTCTTATTTGAAATGTTAGGAGTATTGGTTGCCCCTCTACTAGAATTAGGGCCAAGAATATTTATAGGATTTATAACATTTTGATGTTAGTTGTGATTGAACATTTATTTTCTATTGATAAACTTATGTCTACTAGAAAAGCACTATTTTTTAAATCTAGTTATGGGAACTATTCTAATAAATTTTGTATCTTTTTTTTAAATTGCCCTGTCAAAATTGATTTTATTTTTAATTTTGAGCAATCACGAAATTCGACTATTGAATTATATAATTTTATATGTGTTGCTTCCTTTGTTTATGATTCTTCTATTAGGTTTATTTGAAGGAGACTTTGGGAGCAACTTCCTAATTTCTCCTCTATGCTTGATTTGACCCCAGATGACAGATTAGGAGGGATGTGGGCATTCCTAATGCTCTTGCTATGGATGAACTCAACAATATGATTCTTAATTGAAGTTTAATTGATATTTGTTTTACTAAGAGTAATTTTACTTGGAATTACAATAATCTCTGGCAAAGGCTTTATCATACTCTTTTTAATGATCAATGAATTTCTATCTTTCATCACACCCATATGAAACATTTGAGTAGAACCCTTTTTTCTCACTATCTCCTCCTCTTTTTTAGAATTTAAAATATGTGGTTTCTTTATTCGAAATTTTTAAGTGTAGTTCAGGATAATTTAGGGTTTCTCCTCTTCACCCTGATAAGTCTTATGGGGGTATATTAAGGATTTGGCTTATGATGAAATATTTAAAATACAAAATTAATTGGTGTAATAAAAATATTTTCAAGAATATGTTTCTAATATCCTTGCTATTGTGGAAAAATTATGCTGACAGAGAATACTTATATGCATGAGCCTAATGATCTTAATTTGAATTTGGTCCAAGATTCCAAAAACCTCCCTAACCTTCTTCAGGCTTAAGAGAAGATGTTTTGGAAGCAAAAAACTACTGATAAACATATGAACAATCCTCTACCAGAACACTCTCTGCTTCTCAAACACCAACTTTGTTACCTTAAAGGCTCAGTAATATACAGACTACCCATAACCAATGGCCCGCTTCAACTAAGCTCATACTCTGATTTTGACTGGACAAGTGGCCCCTCAACTCGTCGATCTACAACAGGTCACTGCTCCTTTCAGGGCTGAACTCTCATTTCATGGGCTATAAGGAAGAATTCAATTGTGGCTCATTCCATTGATGCTGAATACAGAGCCCTCGCTGCAGCTGCTGCAAACATCATCCGGCTACAACGGCACCTTCTCCTTAATCTTCATATACACTCTTTTATACAATAAGCACAAACAAGTATTCTCTCTATCTTTTCTCTATTGCCTGCTGTTTATAGCCTGTAAGTTAAAGCATGTAACAGGTAGTTTAGGTGGGATGCATCTGCTAAAAAAGAAGAGAAGACACTTCTACTGCGACCTGTATGGGAGAACACTATTGGATTCCACATCGATGCATACATCTTCCTCAAGATTGGGTATGTTGTAGCTCCAAATGCCTCTAATATAATAATTTAAGTACAAATTTATAAAATAAAAAAAAAATTTAAATTAAATTCTTTCATTTTCTTGATCTCTAGTGATTTTTTTATAGATCCTATAATTTATTATTATTTTATTATAATATGATCAAAATTATCTTTTTTTTTTATTTCATATATTCAAACTAATAAATTAAGATCAAGCTAGAACTTTATTATTTGTCAAACTCGAACTCAAACTCAAATAAAAAATAGCTCTAACTCGACTCAACTCGGGTAATTTATAAATTAAGATGAACTATAAAATAGCATTAAAATGTTCAGGCATCTAAAAAATAAGTTTTCTCCCTAATAATTGATCATGGAATGCAATAAAAAAGAAAAACAATACAACACTTAGATGTGAAGTGACTTGGAATCCAACAGATCATGCGACATGAAACGAGCCACTTTTAAGCAGTATAGGCTACAAACTTAGTTCGTCGTTACTCATCTCCCATTGCCAGCTCCAGTGCATAGTCATCCCTTTCCTGAAAACAAGGAAGCATATACATAAGCATAGAGATGAGGAATACAAAAGACATGCCGAATGAAGTATTGCAGGAGTTGCAAGTTAAATTTAGCCTTCATTTGGGGCTACTTTTTTACTGCTTTGCATTTAAGATCGCAATCAAAATTTTCATTTGACTGCTCCTTTTTCATTACTTTCAAAAAAAATTTGTACTAGGAAGTTGCTTTCAACAACTTTAAAAATGTACTTTCTCTAGAACAAGTTTACAAAGCAATAAAAAATTTGTCCCAAACAAAACTTAATACTTTCAAAAGTAGTTTTTTAATACAAAAATTTTTTGTATTAAAAAATTGCTTTAAAAAGCAGTAAGAAAGCCGTCCCAAACGAAACCTTCATCTTTTTTTAGAAAAAAGGCTATCTTGTATAAGAAACAAAAGGAAATTGCTAAAGCTCAAACAAGCAGATTATCCTGACGATATATCTGCCCATCGCTGATAAGCATCACCATGAAAAATTGTACTAGGAGAATGCAGTGAAGTAGTTCTATACCGCACAGCATGTTAAGACAAGTGTTAATACTATAGTGAGAAGATTAATATTTTACTCACCCATTTTTTAATACCAGATACAACCATAGAATAGAAAAATGGGTGCACCCCAATAGACTATGAGCTTATAGTCATCTTTATCAGCTGTGTTGATCAAGTCAATTCAGCAAGGATTGGGCCACAATTGTTTCAAGTCTAATGTCTTGGACCAATGGAAATATAGACTAAACGGTTCATTGGATTAAGCCATTACTATAAGTTGCTAAGAAAATTGGTTGAAAAGTCAATAAAAATCATATTAAATAAGGCAAACTGCCACCGATATCGAAATACAGGAACTCGATTTTAGCTTTTCGGCCATTATTACACGGCCAGAGGTACCCGTAAGTTGTTCTAGTTGGCTAGAGCAAAGAAGTCAAAACCGAAAATGATAATCATCGAGGCAAAAATTTGCAATCAGCTACATCAATATGAGGAGAGATGCACACAAAAAAACGTTTGATTTTGTGAATGTAAACAACAAAAGTGCAGTAAAAACGCAGTGGTGAACAGTAACTACGCGCGTAATAATCATTCCAATACAAGACTACCCCATCTGCAATAGTTGTTAGTACAATCAAGCCTATGAATCTAAACATGATATATTTATAAATGGGGATCTGACTTCTATGTTTTCAAGTTTTTTTTTTTTTTCCAGGAATTTTTTTAAGGAAAAGACCTTTAGAGAATAGGATCTGAGATGTCATTATAGATTAACAATCTTTTCATCACAATTTCTTGGAATCTCGTGATCTTTAATCTACTTTACCGAGATATTAATGTAAATTTTATTCTCTTTATCTAATTTGTGAATATTTAAATTTACCCCTCCCTCTAACCTCTATGATCCTGATAAGATAGATACAGTTTCAACGATCTTGATGCTAATTCTACTCATCACAGACAAACATCAACACCATAATATTATATGGGAAGAATGCAATACAGTTGTGTCATACAACGTATAATGTTTTAAAAAAAAATCAATGCAAATGTAATAGTAACAGAAGTAATGTTTTACTCAAATTTTGACACTAGGTTCTAATAGAAAATGGGTGGGGATCTAAATGCACTATGTATTTGTGATCATAATTAAGCGACTGTTTGGGATCAATATTTTGTTTTTAATTAAAAAAAATGTTTGTTTAAAGTGCTTTTAACTTATTTATATTTATTTTTTAAAACACTCAAAAATAGATTTTAAATAGTTTTAATATTTTAAAAAATAACTATTACCACGGGCCACCACCAACACCGGCTACCGCCATCACTAGTGATCATGTCGTTGACATTGCCTCGTCGGGCACAGCCGCCTCTAACTCATAAATAAACAAAATAATAATTTTTTCAAAAGCCAAATATATTTTATTTCATATCAATATAAATAATTAAAAATAAATAAAAATAAAAAACAAAAACCCATACAACTTCTAAGTGTTGGCCTGGTGTAGAAGTTTGGGTGAGTCGTGCACTGTTCTAAGTAAAAAGAGTTTGAAATAAAGCGTTCATGTTTTTTGTGCTTTGAGAAAGAGGAGTGGAAGGCTTACAATAGGTCCTCTCGCAAAGTACCGACCAAACTGGAGCCAGTAAACCTGAAAAGAATAGGATATCGTACTTCATGAGTCACATTCTAGTATTTTATGCGATGTTATTGATATGCATTTGAACGTCTCATCAAACTCCTGGGACTTTGATGAAAAAAAAAAAAAAAACTTAAATTTGTTAAAAGGAGTTAAAAGGAATACCTCATCCTCATCCTGAGTTTCAACTTCAATATCAGAAGAAGGAAAGCCAACACAAAGCAAAGCATACCCCTGCAAGGATTAAATACCATAATTCATTAAATGGGAAAAAAGGCAAAGCCCATTTGGCATTTGAATAAAAAACTAGGCTCATAGCATGTCTGATACCCTCCAACCTTTTTATTTCATTCAAAAACAAATATATATATATATATATATATATATATGTATATGGATTATTTTGAAGTTAACAAACTTATTGATTGCATCTATCACTATGAAGAGATATTTCAACAACATCTAATTATATATATATATATATATATTTCAAGAAAAAGATCAAACAATTTGCTATAAGAAAACAATGAACAGGAATTTCAGGTCCATTAAAAACCAAGTCAGCTAGATCCATAAATCTCTATATTTTGTAAGTGGTCACATTTTCAATAGTATAAGGAAAAACCAAAATCCCTCTGTAAAACATTGGGAAAATCAACAGGTGGCATCGACAATTCAATAATGCATCATTAAAAGGTATTCAAAATTTATTTTTCTGTGGTTAGTAAAAACACAAAGACAATCCCTTTTCATAATTATATCTGGAATGCCATTAAATTGTTCAACCTTTTCAAGCCAGGTCATAACTAGGCATCTTTAAGAAGAAAAAAGATGAAGAAAGAATCAAGGATCCATCACCACTATCTCTTCCATACATATATTAAGCAACACAAATCTTATACACCAGCAAAGCTAAGAAAAAAGATTAAAAAAAGTGGTTGAAAACCCTTGGATTGCACGAAGAGATTCAATTTAGTACATTTAATCGTGAGTGCATAATATGCTCGATGCACTCATTTCAAAGACGAAACTTTAGTACCTATGAAAAGTAAAAAAGGCAGCACTACGCAATCCAATTTTCAATATTGATTTTTTAAATTTTTTGCATTAAGACCTCTAAAAATAAGTAACTACTGCACCACTTTCGTGAAGTATAAAATAGAAAATATATTTTTGAAAACCATGGTGTAATTAGAATTTTCAAATCCTTTAAGGTATGCAAAAAATTACAGCAATGCTTTTAGAAAGATAATCATTAAGAAAAGAAGTATATTTGACTGTTATATTCACAACAAAGTGGTCCTTTCGCTCTATTTTGTGTGCTAAAAAATAATTAATTTGAATTTCTGTCTAATGTAACTATTAATGTACTTCAATAATCGAATGACAAAACAAGTTTTTTTCCTATTTTATTGATTCAAATTCGAATGACAAAACAAGTTGACTTTTTCTATAATAAATTTTCAACTAATTAAATGCAAACAGGATTCCCACCACGAATACAAAAAATGAATTGGTATTTTAGTTGTAATATTAACAAAGTGGGATATCCATGTCCCATTTGCATTTATGAAAAAATGTGAATTTTTAGAATCGGTGGCAAGATGTAGGCAACACCGAACCCCGAACAGCCCTTCACACAACAGACCACCTCCAATCGGGCAAATCACGCAATTACGCCCCTATGTGATTCTCCCGCCTGCGACCTTCCTTTCGCCATTTAAGGCAGCTGATGTTAGGGCATCATTTATCTATCAACCATACTCCCTCTCACAGCCGCTGACCCTCCCTCATCTTTCTCTGTCCCTCTCATTCTCAGACCTTCCCCCAAACACCACCGTCAAACCTTCTTTTGAAAACCTAGCCACAACCTTTGACGATTCAATGAACAGTAAAACTTTCTCAGTCTTCCTACTCCAATTGAAGTATGCCAACAATAGTTAGTTTTCTTTTTCTCCCCTACTTCCTGTCATTTTCAATTCACATAAATATATCGACAAATTAATTCACCTTTAAATGCAATTGAACTCTTTCATAAGAACCACCGTTAAATATTGATTAAATTAGTTTATATTTTATTTGGGTACTTTATTTTGTGTATTTAATTATCTTAAGCAAAGGTTTAAGTTTATCCGATTTATTTTTTAAGGAAAACAACATGGTTAAGATCATATAGATTATAGAAGTCTATTTTGTTAAACTCAGTTATATTGCAACTTAGAGTGTTTATGCTCAACTAATAATCTTCATTATATGCATTTAATTTGAGCAGATTAAACCTTACATTTTGCATATTTGCTCCTTAATATGGTTTAGATATTAACTTAAATTTTTTATTTATAGGACATTCGAGTTTAATTTGATTCAACTTTATTAGTTAGATTTCACATAAAGTGGAATCTTATATCATTCGTCTTGAAGTGACTATTATTTATTAAAGAACAAATATAACTTTTTTTAGTATGGATGTTATCATTGTTGTTTGTATCTAAGTTTCTAGATATTATAAGTTATCAATCATATTTTTAATATTTATTTGTTTCTACGCAAGTCTAGTAGATCTTCTTTATTGTCCATAATGACATTATCATATAATAGAACCAATTTGCCTTGATATATTGTGTGCAGACTCTTACCAAAGAATCTAGTGTCATAAACGTTAATTTTATTAAATGCAATAAATAATATTCCTACAAAATATATTGGTTATATAGTTTGTAATCCCCATATTGACTATATAATACATGTTGAAAACTTACTCATACAACAACAACAACAAGTCTTTATCCCACTATGTTGGGTCGGCTACATGAATCCTTTTTCTCCATTGTGTCCTGTTAAGAATCAAATTCTCATCTAAATCTAATAAAAAAGTCATTTCTAATATTTTCTAACCAAGCATTTTACTCATGAGAAATATAAAAATTATATGTATGTATACAATGATATATAGGTAGACAAAATCTTTTTTGGATATTGGCTAACCGGGTCAAGAGGTCCACAAAGTGCCGACTCTATACGAAATCCTTAAATTTTCTTGATTTAGTGTGTACCTTCCTGGAATAGGGTGTTTGTGTGTGTGTATAAACATATATGTGCTAAAAAAGATAAATGATTGATAAGTCATACTGAGATACAATGATATCTAACATGAGTGCATATGAATACATTTGAATAAAATTGCATTAATGGGTTTAACATACACATTTGTAATATCATCACACTAAAATTTATTATAGCCTTGTAGGAACTATAAAATATTTCATTTACACATTGAAATATTGATTATTTGTTGTTATGCAGTTACTCTTCCCCTTTTTGGTTGTTCATGTTGCATACTTATCTCCTTGTCATTTATGATTTAGTAGATAGGAATTACTTACTGAGTTTAAATTCCCAAACTCACTAGTAATTAAGTTTTCCCATAGAAGATCCCACTGGAGTGTTTGGTGGACCATCATCAGATTAGATTTATCAGTAATAGAATATATTTACTATTTTAAATTTTAGTGAGTCATTCGTATTTTCTTTAGAGAGTTAAGTAGGTTTAATTCAGCAGGTACTTCTTTTAGTGCTCCTTTTATGTGTTGTTTCAATTTTATTGATGTAGTATCATTTTGATTTATGGTAATGGAATGAAAGATTTTTTATTTTTTTTACTCTTATTTACTTATTCTATTACATAATGTGCATATAATTTTTTTTTTTTTGTTTAAGCAAAAAAACATATTTTGCTTACCATTTACCACGTCGGGAGCACCAACATCTAAACCCAGGTGTGACATATATATTAGTAAATGCATAAGGTTGCAGAAAGTACTACAGAACTATCTTTCATTTACAGATGAATATCTTAGAATCTTGCCTTTGGACATGGACTTAACCTTGACTAGTTGCTCGTCAATAAGCTATGACATATAAAAATATCATATGAGGTTTTACTTTAACAAGGATCACTATTTTTTTTAACATAAATCTTGATAGAAGTTTATGAACAAATAAATCTTGATGGAAGTTTATGAACAATGCTTTTCTCATTGCATGGCTTTTGAACATGAAAACGGACCTGCAAAGATATCACTCAAATTTACATCAAACTAAAATACGATAATTTTGCAGTATATATCATATTTAATCAATGCACAAACTCTTAACGTTGAAAGCGATTAGGTCAACAAACCATCTTAAACTCTGTATTATCTAATCTGATAATAATACAATAAATTTAAATAAGAAACTAAATTACTCATAGGTCTTTAACTTGTAAATAAAAAATATGACTTAGAAAATGAATATTTATTTTCATACAAACATGTATGAAAATAAAATTCTCACTAGTTTGTAGAGATTTTTTTTTTTTCACTAGTTTGTAGAGATTGAAATCAATATTAGCTTTTAATTATATCAAACAAAATGATGGATTTAAAAAATTTAACTATTTTTCAAAACATGTGTTCTAACTTCAAACTGGATAATAGGAATCATATTAGACGTGTAGGCTCTTTTATGAAACTTTAGAAACTATTATGAGATCTTTAGAGGAGCTACTTTGGAAAGATAAACTATGTGACCGTAGATTTCAAGCATGGAGCTCATTCATAATAGGTATCCTATTATACATGTGGGCTATTTTATGAAAATTTAGAAATTATTATGAGATCTTTAGAGGAGCTTCTTTGGAAAAATAAACCATGTGAACCTTAGATTTCAGTTCTGCAGAAATCCCAAGTGCCTCTGGTTGTCTAATCTTTCCCGATTTCACTCTAACAGCACAGCTAGTACAACAACCTGCATAAGTAGCATGAAGCTACCGTAAGTTGAATTGAAGATTGACTGGTTTTATAAATATGGGACAAAGTGATAAGCATTCAGATTTCTGCAACTTGAGATAGAAAAAATATTTATGTAGCCGACCCCACGTAGTGGGATAAAGGCTTGATGTTGTTGTTGTTGTGTTGTTGTGGACAAAGTGAGAAGCATTCAGATTTTAAAACGTATAAAAAAAATATTGATCATCAATGGCAAACAAGAAATTAATATAATAGAGAGCGAGATTCTTTGGAGCTTAGAACAAAGGAAAAACCATGTCATTCCATCATTCAATTACCCAGTGCTTAGATAATGGTAAATCTAACAGAACATTCAAAAAAATTAGTACAGATAAATTAGTAAGAGCAAAGGTCAGAGTACAACAGCATTCATGCAGCTACTCGGTTATTATGGTCCAAGAAAGTTAATTTTGTGTACTTCTCAGAAAGGTATTAAATAATTTCATATGCCAGAAAAACTTCTCCAATCATCACCATCGATTTTTTTACTACAACATATGTAGTAAATCTTAGCAGCACCAATCAGCAAATTTCTTCTTGCTAACGAAAGAGATGACAGATACACATTGTTAGGTGGTGGTAAAACAAAGGCCCAAAATAAACCCAATATATTGGTGAATGGACACCCATTAATAAAAAAACTTAGGCTAAATAATCTCATATGCACATAAACAATCTTATCTTCACTTGAGGATCCTCCACATGAAGAGTACAAGTCGAGCCAAACTCATAAGTTTGAGGTTGGATCATTTATGAGCTCATGAGTTCAGCTTATCAAACCAATGAATCAAGCTCAAACCATAAACTAGCTGAGTTCAAGTTGAGGATGACATGGCTCGTTGGCTTGACAAGTTGTTCATTTATAAAGAAAAAAAAAAACTATTTGGTATATTTTATAAGTGCATATATTATGAGGGTTAAAATATAATGTTTAAAATTTTTACATAAAAATAAACCCTAAAGCAAAAGCCTCAAAATATTTGCAAACTATCCCAAGCCTTACCCTCAAGCATTAGTTGCGACAACATCTCAAAATTTTGCCCTCAAGTCCTAGCCGCCACAACATTTCCTCTACAATTATGGGAGCTGCTGCGAACATCAGTACGAAGATTTGGCGCATCTATCACAGGCGGCGTCGTAAATCAACAGCCATTATTTAAATTATCAAATTATGAGTTATTTTCTGCATTTTAGTTCTTAATTAATGTATTTCATATTTTACCCCTAGGATAGTTTATGTAAGTGTTATGGCCCAAGGGGCATTTTTGTAATTTTTGATTTTCTCATGTTGTGACCTATATATTGGGCATTAAGCTATTGTAATAGGGGATGAATGATTGAGATGAAAAATTGTTTTTCACACTTGTGTTCTTCTTGTGAGAGAGCGTTAAGTGAGATTCCTATGAGAGGAATCGAAGTCTTCACCAGCCGCAGGATGGGTCTGGGCTCGTGATTTGAAGTCCCTTGGAGAGGGCAAACGGATCACCAGTCAGTCTTCGAAAAAGTCCAAGGCTCGCGGTTTTTATGTTCTCTCTTTCGTTTTTATCTTCTATCTTTGTTTTTGTTCCTTTTATTGTTCCTAGTTTTCATCTTCATTCTCTACCTACGTCTACCTTCATCTTCTCCATCTCCAAGTCGTCGTCTCCTTTTTCCACCATGCCGCCGACTCCACCTCATTAGTCGCCAGCCGAACTCCTCCCACCCTCTTTGGGATTTCCTAATTTGGTTGGGTTAATTTAGGGATTAATTTGAATTTGAAATTATTCAAATTCAAATTTCAAATTCTTTCCTAATTTGGTTCATCTATTTTTGGAAAGTGCTTAATTGAAATCGATTTTGAAATTTGAATTCAAAATCTGATTTTTTTTGTCTCACTTTCATAACTCCTAAATTCGAATCTAAGAGCTTTAAAACACCAAATTACTATTTGAATTTCAAACCTCTGTTACAGATTCAAAATCCAAAGGATTTTCCATTTTTTATTCTCTAGCATTAATTAAATCCCAAGCCGTTAATCCCTCACAGCTCCACCTCTTTATTTCCTTCCCAAAACTGAGAGTGTATTATGGAATTAAATCCCTATTTTCCCTCTCTACCTCCTGCTGGCTACATTAACCACCGCTCAAATCTTTCCTAAAACACCTCCTTTTACTTTGGGAATTAACTTCCATCATAACTCACTGCTGGCTGTATTATCTCAAGCTCTTGCCTTGTTTTTCTCCACCAAATCCTGCCCACAATTCCTCCTGCAAAGAGTCTTCCACTTATTGGAAATAATTCCGAAAATCTCAAGGCCCACACGCCACCCTCTGCTGAAGATTTTCTCAGGTTTTGAATATTAAAACCTGAAGAAAATCTCTCCATTACAGCCGGCTCCCTCCCCAAATTAATTGGCTTTTGAAATCTCTCCATAAGTGCAGATTTACCCCTTTAAAAAGATTTCCAAAAGCGGAATCTGCTGGCCGAATTTTCCAAGACCATTACGTGGGAATTCCTCCACTAGAAGCTCTCCAAATTCATACAATATCAAGCCCTCTTCCTCCCAAAGCTGCAGCAAATTTCTGAAAGATATTTCAGATTTCTAGAAGGAATTATTTCAGGTTTTTCGGGAAGGCGCTTGGAGTTTGTTCTTGCCACTACTTCCCTACCCGTTCTACATCAGGAGCTCTCCTACTTCACCTTTTCCTGCTTCACTGTACTAGCAATGATGAAGCATGGACCCACTTCTTTTTTGTTAACAACACCGACACTTTATCGATCTCTCTTTCGCCACAAGTTCTTCTTCATCATTTTCCTTCCACCTTGACTGAACTTAACCAAACTTCATCGGGTCCAATTCGACTCAACTCGAGTCGCCTGGAGCGCAAATTGGGTTCAACGAGGCTCAACTAAATTAATCGAACGCGCTTAAGAAAAATGTGAGCGAAAACGAGGTCAACAGAGTTAACGGTCAAATTACCTCATTCATCGAACTCATAAAAGTTGTTGACGCGTTAAAGTCTAAAGTATATCACAAGCCACTTAAATAGCCCTAGGCAAGTTTTCAAAGCAGTAAGCGTCCAGCTACAATACCTGGATATAATAGTAACCTAACTTCATGTTTAGTTTGGAGAAGTATTTAGGTTATTGTAGTCCATCATGGATAATGGATTTTTTTTTCGTGATTATGCTCGATCATTTGTAGCCAATGCTTATTTTGACAATAGTCATATTTTTTACATACCAACATAATTAATAAGGCACATTGTGAATAACTGGTCTGCATGACTCCTTTCTCCAATAAATCCCTCATATACCTTTTGACCTCACTCTCCACATAAAAGTATCGGCATAATATCTAATATGGTAAAAGAGCTTCTTATGCTAATAGCAACTTGTGTTCTATAGCACTTATAGGAGGCAAGCCTTTTACCTCCTTGAACACTTTAAGATTATCTACAAAAATTTGTTAATCTATTGAATCTTTGAAAATTCTAGCATGGTAGAAATATGTAAAACACATGGTAGATGTATAATCTTTTCTTGTAAGAGAAGTACTACAAATCATAAACTAGTATGCAACATCCTATTGCCCTTCTCAATAGGCACAAGCTCCAAAAACTTAGAAAAAGAAGGGAGAAGCACTTTTTAACACAAGTCATGTCATCTTTGGAAATATGTCATTTTTGCAACATGCTATGATAAATAACATCTCATTTTCAAAAGTATAGATTCTTAAAAATAATGTGATTGATATCTAAAGGAACATTATTACCAATTATCTCATTCATAAAATGATAGGTGGTTGAAAAACTAAAGGCACACAGTCATATAATCTTAATTGCTCCTTTTGAAATCCATCATAATGTGTATGGATTTGCATATGCATTTTTAATCTAAACATCTATTTTAAATTTGATGTCCCAACAATCAACTTCTTCTAGTTCTCTAAGTTAAAGATGACTAAAGTCATAATTATCTACACTTGCATTATAAATCAAATCTAAGCAAATCCTCCTTATCTTTAGTCATCCACAAGTTTTTGTGACATAAGTATGATATTGGACCTGCTCGATATACTCCACCAATCATAAGAAATAATAGTCATAACTTGCTCCTTTCCAACATCATTCTTTTTCAAAGTTCTAAATGAAGTTTCCTACAATTTTGATTGTTATGCTAGATAAGTTTCCACTGAGTACAATAAGGCCTATAATAATCTTTTCACCCCTATTTTCTTTGCTCTCGCTTATTTAATGCTTATTTTTCTTATCTTAAGGCCAGCAAAACTTGAGTTTTTCTCCCTTCAATTGAAATGAATTTAAAACTAACATCTACAACTAATGTCACTAGAATGAGTTCAACTATCACTAGAGTATCTTAAGCAACCATATAAAAAACTTCATAAAATATAATGTTGAACAGATTGCTAGGTCTTTCTCTTTATTGTTGCATCATATGCACTTATCATCTTCATGGCTGATGGGATGCAGTTTAGCTTTCACTAATCATTAAATTATGACCATGATTTTCAAGATAAATTGTAATACTTGGGTTTTGAGAGCTTGTGAAAGAAATGAGACATGAAAATGCAATCATATGTGCGGGCTTATATATGTAGAAATAAAAGTATGTCTCCATAGTTTCAATCCAATTGTCTCCCTATTAACATCAATAATATTTATCAAAGAAAGATAGCTCCACTTGTCATCTAATGGCTAGTCATTATCATCTTCAAATGGATTATATCAATCATCTCATCATCTTCCTCAAGAAATAGAAAACCCTTGCCACAAGTAAAGGTGGTAGCATCCCTATGCCTCTGGCCAAATGATGCCTTCTAACTAGCCATATGTTCTCCCTATGTTGTTGATGATTTTAACCATGGCGGTGATACTTGTTTTATCTAGCAAATGTGCTTCAATACCCATTTATGATCCAAATTCATAAAGGAAGATCAATGTTCACCTCCCTAATGAATGGGACCAAAAGACAGATTCTTAGGTAGTTGGTTTACATGGTAATTTGAGGCAATCACACTTATAGGATGAATTGCATTATTGCTCCAATTCAATCCTTCCCATGACAATGATGTAATAAAGGTTATGAATTTGATCGATTTGGTTGGTCCAATTCACAAAATAGCTGAATAAGCTTTGGTTCTAAGAAAAACATGAATTGATCAAACAATTTTTAGAACATCTTTTTTTTATAGTTTCGGCATGATTTTAGAGCTAATATCATATGAACTGAAATTAAATGGATAAAATCACTATGTTCATTGGACATTACATGATGGTCAATCAAGAAAATTACAAATTGAAAATAAAAGACTCCATTTTGAATCAACAATAACCTAATAAACAAGGCCAACAACAATATACAAATGAAAATCCTGATATAATTTGGCTTTCAATTAGTTTGATTTTTTTTATGAAAATAAGAATCGAACCAAAAAGAAAAAACCAAAAAAAAAAAAAGCTAAAACTAAAACTAATAACCAAACTGATAATTTGAAAATCAAACTCAATCGAACAAACAAGATAGGTCCAATTTGAATTTTTGGTCTATCCAGACAAACCATATAAATCCCTAGATGTAGTCTATTAGATATTTAGATTACAATCTAGAGGTGATTATCAAGTTATTAGAATCTAGGGCCTCAATCAATCATTAATAGAAAGTTATCGTCCAAGTCAATGAGAAAAAGAGAGAGTAGATTTAGAATCTAGCCAACTCAAGGATTAAATGCAAATTTAAGATAGGCTTAGATTGTACCAATTGTGAAGAACCTTGATGGATTTCCTTTGGCAATTGGTAACCAACATAGGATTGTCAACTTAGTAACAACTAGGGTCTCAATCAATCCTCAATCAAAAGTTGTCTTCCATGCCAATGAGAGAAAGAGAGTAGAATTTAACCTAGCCAGTACAAAGATTACTTACATATTAAACATAAGTTTAGATTACACCAATCTTAAAGAAACTCGATGGATTTATGTTTGCGATTGCCCTCTCTTATTTTCATTTGATTCTTAAGTCCCCTTAGAGCAGTCTTTCAAAATCCCCTTCACCTTGGAAGTAGAAATACAAAAGAAAGGAGAGAGCAGAGCGGGTAGAAATAGAAAACTCAAGTATGTAAAGAAAGAAAGAGCGTTCAACCAAGTGAGAGAATAGAAAAAATCTTATTAATTTGGATTAATAATAAATAAACATATCCTATAATTAGTACTATACAATATAATTCCACATTTTAACAAACAAACCAACCAAGATTTAAAGAATCAAATTTAGAATCTAAGAAAAAAGATAAATCATATCCAAGCAACCTTGCATATTTGGCCAAAAGGGGGTAATTAAAGGATTTTTTAATTGCAATATAATACAATCATGGAAACAACTTTCTTTCAACCCCTACATTCAGTGGAATTTGAATTTTTAGAAGGTTAATAAAGTAGCTTATCCCTCCTTAGGTGTGATTTGAAAATGAAATTTGTGCTCATCCTCTAGAATATTCTCTAATTCTTTTGGAAGCTTTTGGGCCTTCTAGAAACTTTTAGAAGTCTTAAGAAGGTTTTCAAAAATTCATAATGAATTCTAAAAAAATTTACAAAAATATTAGAGTCACTTGAATCAGGATCATTTGTTTATTTTAAGTAGGGAACTTAAATATTTGATTGTATAGATTGAAAGAAGAATAAGTACATTTGAGGCAATGCATTTAATTTCAGAGGAGGATCAATTTCACTAGCAACATTATGAAATTCAAGATCCTTGCCTTAGAAAATGAAGGTACAGACATTGAGTGGACTAATTCTTAACAAATATATTTTTATCAAAAAGGCTAGTAACACTTGTGTCTCTGCGTGTCAGTTGCCAGGCTACAATATCTAAGGCAAATAATAAAATTAATAATAATAGGAGCAAACAAATAATTCAACAGAAGATATTGAGTACATCCCTTGGTGTTAGGTGTAAAATTGCAATGAAAAGGTTGACCAATGGTCTTAACGATCTTCGTAATCTTTTTTAGATGATTTCTCCAATTGTGAAAGTAGCATCGTTTTTCATAAAAACTAGGGTTTTCTGGAACTATTATTAATCCATAATTGGTAGAGAGTCAAAATATATACTAGATGTGTTGAAAACATATTTTTAAAAATGTAATATGAGTGATAAGAATGTTATTCAAGATCTTGCTTTCACAAATTCTCATGAATCAATTCTTTTGGTTCTATGTGTTAGGTCATAAGACCAAAAGGCACTCACATTTATAGATTGCATTTTTAATATAGTAATTTGTCTTTAAAATATGTGGGGGATAGTTATGCAGATTGGTTTTTTAAATATTTCTTTGTGTATTAGAAACAGAATATTGCAGAATTTGATCTTTCCTTATCTACAGGAATCTCAATTCCCTCTCATAAGTCTGAGTATTACAAGTTTTATTCATCTAAATGTATGGTTAAGTTTCCTCTGTGGATACATGCCAATTAAGAGAACATTTATTCCTTTATCTTGTGCTAAGGAAGAAGTCATTTTCTCCTTCATTAAGTGAAGATTCATCTACTCCTACTACTCAAAGTGTTCCCTCCCTTTTATCCACATTGCCGCCTTCTACTAAAGCTTAATTCAGAGAAAAAGAGAGGAAGATTCTCTCATACTGCCGTGGGCACCCTTACAACAACACAGCAATATGTCGTCACCACAACAGAGACTAACAACCCTAAAAGTTAACCTTGCCTTGGTACCCACCCAATCCTACTGCTAAATGCCCCTTGCCCTTATTATCCACATCGTCGCTTTCTACCTAAACTCAATTCAAAGGAAAAAAAAAAAAAGAGGTCTCCTCTTATTGCAGTGGACACCCTTCTAGCGACACATCATAATAGAGTCACAATGGCAAAGAATACTTTCTTTAAAAGCTAGATTTCATGCGATGGTGAAGTACGTTAAATGATTACTTAGTTCATGTCATTTTGGCTACGCTACCACAAGATCCTCATAGGCAAACAAGCTCAATAATTTCATTTCAAGTATCATTGTAAACTTCTTGCATGCAATATCCTCCTCTTTGATGTGCTCTTAAATTACACATCCACAATCCTTAACCACAAACAAGTGATTCTTGACAATCTCTATTCGATCCACCGGATCATTATCATTGTTGAGGTATTTTCCTCCACTCTCTAGATCCCTATATTTTGTATTACATTAAGGAATTGAGATGTGTAGTTGCAAACAACTAAAACAATGTGGATTCCTGCAATGGTCAACTCACATAGTCATACTTCCGCCTATTCAAGTTTGAGGCTCTCAAGTTCAAGCTTGAAGCAGAATGCACATTTCTAGATTCAAAGCATTAATTTCTAAGAGAATATTAAACAACTTCTTGGTCTTATCAACAACACCTACACCAACAAAAAGATCCTCCTAATAAAGCTTATTGGCAACCGGAGCCATCCAGTTGACACTTACATGACAAAGTTTAATTTCATGAACAACCTCAAGACCACCACAATGTGTCCCCCATGGTCATTGAGAACCTAAAGCCTCCTACTTGGATTACTAATTGAAGGATCTCAACACTTCAAATCTCAACAGAATACATGTTAAACTACTTCACACACTACAAGAGGCTCTTATGCCCCGAGCTAATTAATGTATGGCATGTGACAAGAACCATATCATCCTAGAGGGCTACCATTAGTTAAAATTGCATTAAGGCCTATTCTATAAGCGACGGAACAATCCTAAAGGGCAATGCTTGCACACATTTTGACAGTAAGAACTTTGACGATATTTCAAATATATTTAATTTAGCATTAAAATTATATAAATTTTCTTCTTGTTTTTTTTTCAATAATTTAAGTGCAACAAGTAAATATTTAAATCTTCACAAGTCTTCATTGCAAACAATATTAATCTAAGGACAATTGATGATGATGATTCATCTAAGGGTTCATTTGCTCTATTGTAAATATAAAGCATGTTTTAAAATGAAGACTTAATTTTTACTCATTATGTGTGAAAATAAAACCATAACATTTTTCTAAAATATAAAACCATAAATTTTGAGAGTATTTTGAGACGTATGTAGAGTTTAAAGCTAATGTTGATTTCTAACTGCATCCATTCAAAAGTTACATTTAACAAATTTCGCCCATTTTTGAACACGTGCTTTCTGACCTCAATCACTCAAACGAATCCCAGTGAGATTTCCATCTTGCCTCAAAAGTGATCGCAGAACACACCAAACAAATACAGATTTTCTGTGAAATAATACATTCTTGGTGCCCGACTGGAAAACAGTAGGATAAAGTGTAAGGTCATCTCAAGCGCAGGAGAGCAGTACCATGTCTGCAAGCAAATGGAAGGGAAATTTCCTGTGACTCGGCCGTGTGCAGAATGTATTGGTCCTGTAATCAAAAAGCACAAGGCAGTTTAACTATCCAAGCTTCCTACACATTTCCCTCAAAAAGCGCTAAAAAAAAGGTCACTCCGGAAAGAATCCCAAATTCGGCGGAACTTTTGATATCGAACAATAGAATGATTGAATTCCTTTTACCTCGGGGACGAGGAACTGGTGTACAACCCCCCGCTGCCGGTCGTTGACGGTGACTCTGTGAACCTGAACAGCGGCGGTACGAGCCGGTGCCGCAGAATGGCCGGAAACCTCAACGGTGGATTGGAGCTCTGCCTTTGTCTTCGCCGCAAACCTATGTCTCCTACTCCCATGGGAGAAATGTCGAAGTAAAGAAAAACCAAATCTACTGGAGATGCTCAGATCCGTCGCCATTTGCATCGCTGCTTCGTATCTCTCAGGCAGATTAGATGAGCTTCATTAGAAGTCGCCTTCCCGCCCTTCTCCCTAATCTCTGACGACGCGACGAAGCCTGTGGTCTTTGGCCTTTGGCTACCCCATTAATTCTATCCTAATCAGACTGATGGATAAGCGCTACAACGGGCCGATAGTATGGGTTGAATTGAGCACAGGAAAGTAAATAAAAAATAGTTTAAAAGGATTAAATTAGGGCACCTAAATGCACAATGAGTTTAGGGTTTGTGTCCTAGTCAAATTTGACTGATTTGAATCCGATCAATTCAAACACGATCATCTTAATAGACGGATCAAAAATAAAGACTTGAACCTGACCTAGCAATCCAAATTATGCGAACCCAACCTAGTAATACGTTTGATTTTTTAAAAATAATAAATTTTAAATTAATTAATAAAAATAAGACAATTATACTAAAAATTTAAAATTAAGATTAAAATAATTTAAATTAGTCATTTCATGTCCAAATCTAATTGGCAGATCAATCCAAATCTGACCCATTTAATAAACAGTTCGAAAATTCCTGAGTCATTTATTTAACGTGTCAATCTGAACATACATATAGATGTTTTATATATAATCAATAGGCATATAAACTTCTATTATCACTGCAATACGCTAATTAAAATTAGATGAAAAATAAAAAAAGTAGGCTTATGTATAACCTAAGGGTTTCTAATTGATTGATTTATTCAAATCAATATAGCATCAATCACATGATTAAATTAGTTACTCAAAACAAAAAAAATAAGCTTATCATAAAGCATTACATACAAGAGCATAATTTTATCATGCAAACAATAGTGAATGACCTTAATTAGAAAGACAAATAGTTAGTAGCAATCAGAAAAAATTCATGTAAATTGAATTAAGATAGACCAGAATAATTTATTAGAAAAATCTTTCACAGATGAATGAGCCTATAACAAAACATAAGAATATATAATAACAAAATTAAAAAAAGATAACATAAGCATAAGCAAAATTCATTGGATTTCAACCATATGAGTTTTATATTGTGTAATATAGATCATAAATTTGAGTAATGAATGCATCATCTTTCTTAATGTAACCCCAACTCATGCATTGTATAAATAGGAAAAAGAATACCACAATTAAGACTTATTCAGGAAAGAAGCTTTTACTAGTAGAAGAAATTCAAGAAACATATAGACTCCAATGGCAATGACACCAAACTAATCATATTTGCAGACTACCAACTTGGTTTGATTAACTTCCACAAAAATACAATAAAGAACACTCGTATGAGAAAAATTTTATTTTGCGACTCTTGTTGTGACACGATAGTTGAGGGCAGTCATGCCTCCCACGAGAAGCTGCGCTCGAGACGTTCAACCTGCCCACAAAAGGAAGTTGTTTTGACCATTCAAATTTTAATAAAAGCCAATGAATGACATTGGCATCCCCTTTTGGTAAAAAATAAGAAAAACTTCAAGTATTAGAAAATGAGGTCTCGATGAGACGAATCAAAATTTTAACAATAACATGGATATAAAGTCATGCAATTGTTCAAACATGCTCCCCACAAGAATTCATGTTATCCAAATTCAAAGAGAATAGCATTACATAATTTCAATTTTTAAAGCCAAATATATTATTTAAATTGAAAAGAAATCACTTCAATAAATACTAATTTAAACATTCAGTAAATAATATTTCATTAGCAATGATTCCAATTACCAACTTTTCCCAATAACCACCAAATAATAATAATGTGAAGCATAAAATGCAAATAATGAATAACATTGGAATGGGTAACTATTTCATTGATAGAATTATGAAAATATTGACAATTTATGTGCTACTAACATTGAAAAAAATTATAGAGTTATGATTATATATCTTACCTTTAAAATATAAGAAGCTTAAGAAAGAGGAAATCTTCATACTTGGCACCACAAGTGTCCAAAAAGAGTGAAAGTGCTATCATTATTTTAACCATGGCATCATATGTCTAATGAGTGTCATGATCTTATGTCTAATAAGTGTCATGAAGCTAATAGAATATTGCAATTTCTTAAGTTTTCTATCTGATCAAATTATATTGCTTATTGGATAAGAGGTATGATTATACCCAAGTTTTTCCTTAAATTTATTAGAAAAGCTTGCTCTAATTTACTCTTTCAAGGCAATACTAATTCTAAGAAAATGCATATTATTTCTTGGAAGGATGTTTGTAAGCCCAAGTGCTTCGGGTGTTTAGGTATTCCCGACCTCAACGCTCTTTACTATGCTTTTCATTGTTTTATTATTTGGAGAATTTTAAATGGGGAATCTTTATTGACTGGCTGTGTTAATAATAAATATATTTCTCTTTGGAAGTCCCCTTCCTCAAAAGCTTCAAATTTTAAATGGGGAGCCTTTGAAGGATAATATTTCTTTTATTATTTCTGCTAATGGCTCCTTTTCATTTTATTGGGACCCGTGGTATGATGACAAATCTTTCCATGATTTAGTTCCTAATATTAACTCTCACTGACATTCTATTTTGGTTAAGGATGTTATTTCGAATGGCAGATGGTCATTTTCTGACTTTTTAGTTTTTACATAACAAGTTTTCTTTTAATTATGTTAATTAATAATCTTATTCATGATTCTTCTAGCTCATGTATTGCTTTGAATGGGTTTCTTTTACCTCATTTTAACCTTTTTCACTTAGATTATTATTCTGGCCTTGCCAAGGTTAATTGGTATTCTTATATTTGGCATAAGCATTTTGCTTTGCGTTATTCTTGTTATGCTTGAATAGCTTTATTAAATGATCAAAAAATCGTTGATATTCTTGCTAAAAAAATTAAATATTTCTTTAGTTTTTGTTTTTTTTTTTTTAATAATGCTTTTGAATCTCAAAATCATTTGATTCGATTTCTCGTTTAATTAAGCAAGCTAAGATGGTCCTGATCTTAAAAATCATATAATGAAGTTAAGTTATTTCTGTCCTTGACTTTTGGAGGGTTTTTTTGACAACCCATTTTTGATCTGGACGATCTTTAATTTATAGCTAACAAGATTTATTGGACAGCTTTTACCCTTAGATTACTCGGTATTGTTCGGCATTGCTCGGTATTGGTCTTCACAGAATAGTATTTTACGTTTTTTTCGAGCAAAATCGACCAATACCTAACAATACCGAGCAATACGCAAAACTCCCGGATCCGTTCCGGATCGGGTTGTCGGTCCTCGCGGTAAATAGTGAGAGCACGTGACGCCTGTTTATTGGCTACCTGACGTAGAGCTGCATCAGGTAACCTGGCGGAATAAAAATTCCTAATTAAGCCATGTTATTTGATTTCATTAGAGTTTATGTGCTTTCGGAGTACTCTGCACATAATAATTTCTTCCTCGTATAAGAATATCACAACAAAGAGCCATACCCCTTCGTCAAAGCCTTAAAATAAGCTTGCGTTTTTTTTTTCTTTCTTTCTTTTTTTTCTTTTTTAATTCAGATGATGAGTTGCATATCAACTAATAATCAATAAGATAATAATCTTGTAATTTAGTTATCAGTTTGTGACAAATTCAAGGTTTAGGAAAAAGAAAGATTATATTTTTGTAGTATTTTTAATTGACTACTAAATAATAATTATATGTTGATTATCAAACTATTAAAGTTCATCAATGATGTTCAACATTGGTCAAAGCTATTTATATGAATTAAAGTCATAATCTCCAAAGAATAATATAAGACAAATAAAAAAATATGCCAGCATAAAAAATTGATGTGATTAATTGAGAGATTTGGTTATCAACTCCCAGAATTTTAGATTTTAGTTTCTCATAATTGAGATGTGTGTGAGTTTGCTTTGTTGGCCTAAATGTCCCCAATAAAATATTAATTAAGAAAATTGATTTAAATATAGCATATTTAAATTTTAAAATAAATATTTACGCACCATCGTAATCTACCACATGATCACCTTATTTTTAAACAGTTTTTTTAATTATTTGTTTAATAATTAGATTATTTTTAGATTAATTATATTTAATTATTTATCTATTTAATTTTATTTTTTAAATATACATCATCAAAAATCAACTTTTATCTATTTATTAATTATAAATAATATAACACTAATAATTTATAGATGTAAAAATATAATGTTAATTTGATATATAATTTATGATTATAAATTTTATCTAAATATAAAATATAAATTAATAATATTTTAAAAAAAAAAAACAGAGATAAATTAATCTATCCTTCCACACATGATTCATCCAAAACAACCATAAACTTGTAATTAAAAGATTGTTTGGATTCATCGATCGTCGCTAATTCCTGTGATCTTCAGAGGCGACGTCGACGATGGCGAATTCGACATGTCTGCAACCGATGAAGGCGACCTCGAACGGGTTTTTCCAAGGTGACAGCCCGGTCGAATTCGCGTTGCCGCTAGCGATCCTTCAGATCTGCCTCGTCGTCGTCCTCACGCGAACCCTAGCCTTCCTCCTCCGCCCTCTCCACCAGCCCCGCGTCATCGCTGAAGTCATTGTGAGTTTTCCTGCTTCTTTATTCTTTCAACCGAGAATTTTTCTTCGTAATCATCATCATTGCCATTAATGATCATTGAATTGAATTTTGTCATCTTCCGCTGTTTCTTAAAATATTCTTTATTGATTTGCTATATAAATGTATCCGTTTTTGCAAATAATAATGCTTCATCTGATTACAGAAATTTCCAATTACGTTGCAGAGATTATTTCTTACCTTCTAATTATGTTTTCAAGAATTTTCTCATTATGTTAATATATGCGATGCAAAATATATTATGAGAAATTAAAGAAAATTATTTAAAATTAATATAATTCTGAAAATTATATGTAATATTAATTCTAATATAAAACCAAGAATTTTTTTTTGTGCTGATAGATTATAGTGATGATGTTGATGGATTATAGTGATGCAATCAACTGTGTAATTGCAGGGTGGCATTCTGTTAGGGCCGTCGGCGCTGGGCCGCAACAAAGCGTTCCTGAATGCCATATTCCCCAAGCAGAGCTTGACAGTGCTCGACACGCTTGCCAACATCGGCCTGCTCTTTTTTCTCTTCCTGGTGGGTCTCGAGATCGACCTCAACTCCCTCCGCCGCACCGGCAAGAGTGCACTGTCCATCGCCGTCGCTGGCATTTCCCTGCCTTTCCTCCTTGGCATCGGCACGTCTGTGGTCCTCCGCAACACCATAGCCGACGGCGTTCGCGGCGCCCCTTTCCTTGTCTTCATGGGCGTCGCTCTGTCCATTACCGCCTTCCCTGTACTAGCTCGCATCCTTGCCGAGCTCAAGCTTCTCACCACCGACCTAGGCCGCATGGCCATGTCCGCCGCTGCTGTCAACGACGTCGCCGCCTGGATCCTCCTCGCTCTCGCCATTGCCCTTTCAGGCTCTCGCTCACCCCTTGTCTCCCTTTGGGTACTCCTCACCGCCGCTGCCTTTGTCGCAATCGCAGCCTTCATCCTTCGCCCTCTTCTCGCGCGGATGGCTCGTCACTCACTGGAAGGCGAACCGGTTAAGGAAGTCTATATATGCGCCACCCTCACCACTGTCCTCGCCGCCGGCTTCATTACCGACACCATCGGCATCCATGCCCTCTTCGGGGCCTTTGTGGTGGGCATTGTAATGCCCAAGGAAGGTCCTTTCGCTGGTATCCTTATCGAGAAAGTCGAAGACCTCATCTCTGGCCTCTTTCTACCCCTCTACTTCGTCTCCAGCGGCCTCAAAACTAACGTCGCCACCATAAGCAACGGCACCTCCTGGGCGCTTCTCGTTCTAGTTATCTTCAACGCCTGTCTGGGCAAGATCGGTGGCACCATCCTCGCTTCCCTCATTATGAAAGTCCCCATTCGCGAGGCCCTCACCCTCGGGTTCCTCATGAACACCAAAGGCCTCGTTGAACTCATCGTCCTGAACATCGGAAAAGATCGCAAGGTAAATAATTAATTAATCAAGAAACGTGAAGACTGGTTTTTGACTCATGAAACCGAACCAATTACAGGTTTTAAATGACGAGACATTTGCGATCATGGTAATGATGGCTCTGTTCACGACGTTCATAACGACGCCGATTGTGATGGGGATATACAAGCCGGCGAGGAAGGCGGCTCCATACAAGCATCGAAAAATCGAGCGTGCCGACACGGAGAGCGAGTTGCGGATCCTCGCCTGCTTTCACGGCAGCCGCAACATCCCGACCCTCATCAACCTCATCGAATCCTCCCGTGGCACCCGCCGCCGTGGCGTTACTGTCTACGCCATGCACCTCATGGAGCTCTCGGAGCGCCCATCCGCAATCTTTATGGTCCACAAAGCCCGTCGCAACGGCCTCCCCTTCTGGAACAAAAAGAAGGAGAGCGCAATCGGCAATACCAACGGCGGAGACCAGCTCGTCATCGCGTTCCAAGCCTACCAGCAGCTCAGCCACGTCACCGTCCGGCCCATGACCGCCATTTCTGACCTCCACACCATCCACGAGGACGTGGTCACCAGCGCCCATCAAAAGCGTGCGGCTCTAATCCTGCTTCCCTTTCACAAGGCCCTGCTGGTTGACGGCTTTATGGAATCCATTGGCAACGAATACCAACACGTGAACCAGCGAGTCCTCCACTACGCCCCTTGCTCCGTTGCCATCCTCGTTGACCGAGGCCTTGGCGGCTCCACCCAGGTGTCCGCCAGCGAGGTTTCCTACTCCGTCACCGTTCTGTTCTTTGGCGGTTCGGACGACCGGGAAGCCCTCGCCTACGGCCTCCGCATGGCTGAGCACCCCGGAATCATCCTCACTGTACTCTGCTTCGTCCAACCACCTGGAAGCCCCTCCTTCATTAACATTCAGATGGGCACAGACCAGCTGTCCAATGATAATGAATGCATTGCCCGATTGCGGGAGAGGGTGGCGGCAAGCACCAACGGATCGGTCAGGTTTGAAGAGAAAGTGGCAGGAAAGAAGGAGGAAATCGTATCAGTCATCAAGGGGGTGGGGAGATGCAATCTGTTTCTAGTTGGGCAGAGGGCGCCGGTGATGCCCCTCGCTGACCGGATCGACTGCCCGGAGCTCGGCCCTGTGGGGAGTTTCATGGCAGCCTCTAACTCGACCGCCGCATCCGTGCTGGTCATCAGGCAGCACGATCCCTCTGCGATGACGACTCCCCTGGTAGAAGAGGTGGCCGAAGACGCCCTTTCGCCGGATACCCCACACGCCGGTGGCTCCGGCCACGACGAATTTAATCCGCTTTGACTGCGCAACATTATATGCCGTTTCAGTCCCATTAGTATAATCATATACAGATCCTGATATGCAGTTAAAAATTTTATTTTTCTGTACAGTACCGTTAAAGCTATTTTGTCTGAGGCCATGCTTGTTCTGGTCGTGTTAGCTCAATGGTTATGCTTTCTTTACATATTGAAGGTTCGTAAATGCAAGATCGAATATTGATGAATGTTTAATTAAAATAATAAATTCTGTTGATTTTCCGCTTTAATCAGAATTTTTTATTTTTCTGATTAGGAAATGTTGATTTCAGAAATTTATTTTCCATTAAAATGTAATTAGGAGCCCCTTTGTTTTTATATGTATTACAGACGCCTTCCAGAGTTGTGCAGATTATATCATTATAATGTATAAACGCCATCCTATAATTATAAATTTCTCTCTGAGAAAACGTGTGATGAAGCGCTGTCAAATCCATTTTGTATCGTGTAGAGCACCGTTATTCAATATCTGCGATAGATCCAATTTAATTATTGTTTCATGCTAAAAATAATTATGCTATCTTATGTATAAATATAATATTTATATTATACTTTTTTGTTTAAATATAATTGTTGTGTCCTGAACTAGTCACGGTGTTAGAAAAATATAAAGTTTAACGTCTTAGCTGTGTACGAAGATTCAGTACACAATAAGATAAGAGAGAAGTTGTAATATTCATAGGATACACCAAGATTTTTGTGGAAAATCCTGAAAAGCGGAAAAACCATGAGATATGGCTATTTATAGTTTTATGAGAGTGACATGACCAATAAATAAGAGGAAGATCAAGGGTAAATTGGGAATGGTTTGAATGGATGGCTGATGTTGAATCCCTTGATCGTGGACCGTTTATTGTGCATTTGAATGTCTTAATGATATCAGAATTTGACGATATTGGGCTCGTTGGATTTGTCTCGTCGATCCGCTCGATTCGACTATAAGCATGTCACTTTTGGAAACTATTTCATAATCCAAATTATAGTTTGAACCTTCAAAATGAGCTTCGGGTCTTTGACTTGGACTCATTTGGACTCAGATCGAGTCGAAATTGGTGTTGTTGGGATTGTATTTCCGAGACGTTCATTTCTACTATAAGTTTGTTGAAATCTGAATAGTCTCCAATTAAAATTTTGAAGATTCTAACTCATTTTTTGACTCGAGATTCGTGCGTGATCAAGATAAATTTTTGATGATATATCATCATCTATCATGCTTCTTGTTATAACACATGATGTATATCCGCGTGAATTTGAAAAGGCGAATGCGAAAAGAATTGATATCCATGCATTATTTTAAATGATTCAGCACAATAATAGATTGAATTATCAGAAATTCATATTTATGACAACTGGGATCAAATCGATGCAAACAGCCCAAAAATATACGTTGTGCTAAGTAAAAATCTATTAATAGCTATATTTTATGTTGGTGACACATTAGAATGACAAAAAATTTATATATAAAAAATAATGGGCAAAAGAGCATGTGTGCCGATGGAATGGCGGAGCCAAGGTGAGGGCACTTCGAGCACGTGCCTTCACTTTGCAAATGAAAACGAAAAAAAATTTAATTTTTAAAAGATTTTTTATACATTGAAAAGTTATTATGTTTGGACAAAAAATCGAAAATCCTGACAAATACCGAGCAATACCTAGTGTTCGGTACCGAGCACCTGTGATGTAACGCTTTATTATTAGTCTCTGGACGCGTTCGATGTCCGGACACAATAATTATTGGTCTCTGATGGTGACTAGTTTCTCTCTCTTTCTCCCCCTAGCCGGCAATGCTTGTTTATGCAAAAAGCCAAAAAAAAATAAGATGAAAATCAAATTTCTCTCAATGCCTTAAGGCTGCATGTGCAAAAAGACAAAAATATATATATATAAAAAAAAAACAATAGCTTGTTCTCTTTCCGTAAGTGAAAATAAGTTAGAAATCATTTAACTAATAATTATTTTATTTGTATTTTTGTATTAATTTTTTTTTTTATGTTTTGGTTCTATTTTAAGGGTTTTATTTTAACTTGTGTATTTTTTTTAATTAAGTAGTAAAATTTAATTTGAGTTTAAATAATTTTGAGATTTTAAATGAAATTTTTTTACATAGTTTGTTTTGATTTTTGTTCGCTTGAGAATATTTTAATTTTTCCTATGAATTTATTTTTTAATTTGCCTGCTCATTCTCCAATGAGAGGATTATATTTGCATAATCTCCAATTTCTTTTTACATAAATTTTAGAAAGGAGATTTTAATAAATTAAAATTTTATACATTATGAAGAAGAGATTATCGCAATTTTTTATACAAGTTAAAATATTTGTACAAGACTTATAATATATTTATAAAAAATATATTATTATTTTGTTCAAATATTTACCCATGATTTTTTGAGTATTCATGAAAAAGGTTAGTATTTTTTAATATTCATAATTTATATCCTCCTATTAAAAAAAAAATTCTAACTCTGCCAGTGTCCTTCCACATAATTGGAAAGACATGCAAAAATAAAACAATTTAGCTGTAATTATTACAAATATCCATAAAGCAGAATTGTCAGCATTACGGAATTTAAGAAAAGGGGTGACATTACTTGATGATACAATTAAGCGTGTTTTTTTTAATTAATAATAATGACGAGTAATCGTTCGCTGCCACCTGACTTCGCCAGGGCGCTTGACGATCCGTAAACCTCGGCCGATCTATCGGGCCACCCACGCCAATTTGTACCCGCAACCAGCGCTTGATGGCCCCACTAAAGGGACGACTGCTGCTCAAGGGAATCGAACTTGGAATTGGGGTTCCCACCCAAGCACGCCCACCAACCGAGCTAAGCATCAGTAGGTTAAGCGTGTATAAGTTAAAGAACAATTTAAGAAAAGTTCTTAATGCAAGCAAGCAAATCCTAAATTCACTCTCAAATAACACACACTATCTTTGCAGCAGAAAGGCAGTTCCTACCAAACCCATCCAAAAAGCAAGCAGAGTCCAGAAGGCAGGATTCTTCTCTAATCCAACTGGGGGTCTCCACACCATGAAGTCGCCCAAGAAGTCCCTCGATGATGGAAGTTGGTTGGTAGTGCTAACAAACTTCTTTCCCTGACCCCCATCTTTGTATTTGTCGCTCCAGGTTCCTGCGTATCTGTAGTATTTTACTCATTTTTAATCATATTTCACAAGCCATGACAATAAAGACTGACATGAATAGAGGTAAATCACTGGAAAAACCAGATAACTGAAGCAGCACAATGAATAATTTTATTATTCTATGTGGAGTGCAGAGTGCGGAGGGCGTCCGGAGACTAATAAAAATACGCCACGTCACCCCATTGCTGAGTACCCAACTCGGTACCCCTATGTACCGCTGGGTACCAAGTGTTTAACCGGACGGTTCTCCCGTCCGATGTCCCTGCATAATAAAAGCTCCAATGAATAGGGGGTGCTAGTTCAGCATTAATAACGAAAGCTCATGGTATACCAAAGATTCTTGGCATGTGTAAGAGGTTGACGAGAATTGATAAAAAATTTAATTTTTTGGAAAAAAAAAATAATGTGTATTAACCCATGCAATTTCTCATCATTCCTCATTCATCTTTGTGTCATCAACTCGGATGTGGTTGAATTTTTCAAAATTTTCTTATGTGGCAACCCATGCAATATAGACTTCATTCTTATATAATTTTGAGCTTCTAGACAAGTCAATGCTGTCGGTTTTGCAACATAGGCAACAATTGAGCACCTTGCGCTACGTTGCATCCACAATTCTTCATTTTTTCAATGTGTCTACTCAACTTCTTTATTTGCTTAAAATTATAGTGGTTCCACTCAACTTCTTTATTTGCTTCCCTACCTTTTACTTTCTATTCCATCTTAGATTCTTTTAAATTTTGTATTGTAGAAATTGATTTAATTTCTTAAATATTGTTGGAATGAATGAGAAAAGAAGTTCAGATGTTTGATAAAAATATTTGAGAAATATCTAGAGTTGAGAGCTTGGTAGCCAACCCCTCTTTTGGGTTATTCTTAGTAAAAGACTTAGATATCTTTCTTATATTTGCTTATCCTTGTTAATCTCTGCTTCAATCTTCATAGCTTACTCTCCAACCTTCCTAGCATCATCCAAAAGCATTTCCTCAAACTCTAGAACAATATTTTTTTTTTTTTTGAAATTTAATAAAATAACGAGATCATTAAAATTTATTGCATGCATATGATAATCCTATGATATTAAGTACTTAGCTCTACTTGGATATCTCCACCACATAGCCTAGCCTACTACTGCCTACCACCTATGTGAGAACGTACCATCAAAACCTATAATGAATGAATTTCTTTATAAGGGAGTACTCTACATACAAATCAACATAAAACATAAAGTGCATACCTACATATAAAAGCCATTTTATATTAATTTAGAATAACTAGGGATTATGGCAAGAGGCCTACTTTAAAAATATTTTCTAATATATGCTTGCCCAAAAATCAATGCAAAACATTTAAAATTCACAATTGCATGCATGAATCATCCCCTTATATAAAGAGAGCATTATAAACATTAATTAAAAAAAAAAAATAGATGACCCCTCAAAAAGAGTGAAGTTTTTTTTTCTTAGCATCTTATAAACTTTATTCTTGATCATCACACCACCCATGTCATAATTATTCGATAAGTTTTATGCTGATTGTCGACTATCTAATATAACCACATACTTGTCAACAGCGAATGGCGCACCACGACGTAAAGTTCTCCATGGAGCCATGACGCATAGCGCATGACGCGGCACGCGCCATTTTAAACACGATGCAAAATTACAAATAATTATAAAAATTATTATATGGATCCTATTTTAGAGTATCAATCAAGTTGGATAAGGCTTGATTGAATGTCTTTTTGGTCCAAAGTCTAAACCACTAAAGCGAGCTTCAAGTTTGTCCAAACTTTATATTAAAACAAAGTCTAAAAAAACTTAACTAAAATATTTTAATCATATCAAATAATTTTAAAAATTAATTATTATATTATTTTAAAAATTAAAATATATAAATATTAAAAACTAGTTGTAATTATATTAAAAATCACTAAAGTTGAAATTGTGGGCACCATTACGCACACATGAAGTAAATGGTGCGCGCCAACTTGAACATATATGCCAGGCCATGTAGCTGGCGCCATAGGTGTGTCGCGCCGTGCCATGAGCCATGGCGCGCGCCATTGACAAGTACGTGCAACCCTTAACTCTTCTCATTCAGGACTTGAGACCTGGCAACGGCAGTGCTAGAGTAGCTCAAGTGGAAGATAAGATTAGAGAGTCGCCTTAGATGGTTTGGTCACATAAAACAGCAGCCTTCCGATGACCCAGTTAGTAAAGCAGATGTATTAAATTTGGCTTATGTTAAGAAAGGTAAAGGAAGAGCAAAAAAGACTTAGTTAGAAAATATTAGAAATGATTTTTTTTTTTAATTAGATTTAAATAAAAATTTGACTCTTATCATGATACAATGGAGAAAAATGACTCATATAACCGACCCCACATAGTTGGATAAAGGCTTGAGGTTGTTGTTGTATCATACAACTCATGTCAATCTCAATAAATCAAGTTGAAAGTATAACCAAAATAGTTTACCAAATTCCATGAGTGATTTGAGGCACATAATTTATTGAGAAGATTAAGACCCGATTTCATGAGTAGGAATCAAGTTATGAGATAAGAAACTAAATGGCCATTTTGGTGGAACATATGTAAAACCTAGCCCCTCAAAATCCCACCCTAACTACATATGTACAACCCACCTATCTTGATTCAAATGATGATATGTAGCCAAACCCTAGATAAATTCAACATCTTAGAAGGCCACCTTTTCAAATGAATAGAGGTAAAGGAAATCAAAATAATAGGTATATTGAAAATTTTAATGACCCATCCAAGAAAATTAAAATGAACTCGCCTTCCCATGATGATATATATGATCCTAATAAGCTTTTAAATTTGATAGTGCAAATTGATGATTTCTTTGAGTTGCATAAGATGAATGATTGCAAATGGGTTACTTTTACTAAGATAAATCGCATTGGTTATGCAAAGATCTGTACGACCAACACATTAGCAAAAGAGAAAAGATTAAGGACCAATCTCAACTAGGTAGAGATGAAGGAAATGCTTAGAGGTAAATATTACCCAAGATACCATGATATGAAACTACATGGACAACTATTAACCATGTGATAGGAAATCCTTAAGTAATTAATCAACTCAACACCTTTGAGAACTTCATATTTAGGACAAACTCTCTAGATAATGATTGACAACTAGTTAAAAAATTAATCATTGATTTTAAAATACATATTAAGAATGAGGTAGAGATGTTTGACTCTCAAACATTAGAGGATGCTTTCCATTATAACCTCATGGTAGAAAAGTAAAATAAAGCTACATATTTTCCTAGACCTAGAAGTTAGACCACTACTACTTCTACCCAGAGATCTACTATTAGGCTTAACCATACAAATAATAGCACATAAACCACTAGGACTCCTATTGAAGGGAGACCATCAGGGAAATCATATGGTTTATGTGCCACAGGAAGAGTCACGTACAATACCAATGCAAGACCAAAACATTATTCCTATATGAGTTTCATTTGATTAAGGCTAATGATTATGAGGAGGCTATGGATGAGACACCCCCAAATAAAGGGAATATTCATATTGAGAATGACCATCAAATTGGATTCATGAGATACTTGGCAATTTTTAAGAATGAAGCAAAGGAATAGATGGGAAATTTTTTTCTAAAAGCACGTGCTACGTAATGACAAAAGGTGCAAGACTATCATTGATAGTAAGAGTACCATGAATGTTATATCCACCCATGTACTAATGAGGGTTAATCTTAGAGTCAAGCCTCATTCTGAGGCCTTTCCAGTGAGTTGAGTGAGCCACACCTCCCTTCCCATCACTAGTAGATGCTTAGTCCCCTTAAGATGGATGGCTATGTAGATAACATCTAGTGTGACAATGTGCCTATTGAAATATCAAACATTTTATTGGTCCAAACCTAGCTATATGATTTGACTATCATAGATTCTAGCAAGGAGAACACATGTATTCAAGCATCAGAATAAGACCATTAAGCTTTTATGTGCAAATAAAGTAGAGAATACATCTACAATAGCACCAAACAAGCCACTTTAATATCCATCCAAAATCCACACTTAAGCAAAATGCTTGACTACACATGATAGTGATTGGATCCCCTACTAATGTGGAAAGTGATCATGCATCTAATTCCAACATAATTTCACTTGATCGTAAGGACAGAGAGTAGAATTTAGTACTCTTAAGAGAGAGTTTATTAATCTTTCTCATTTCTTTTGCTTCATATAAGGGAGGTTATTCCGGAGCTAGCTAGTGGAAACTCACAAACTTACTGTGATCTCACTGCTTCTGTCAAATTTGAGTGACAATATCCCTGAGGATTTTTCTGATTAGTTGCCATCTTTGAAAGACATACAATATATTACAAACTTTATCCACGTGCCTCAGCTCTCAAATCTACCCCATTATAGAATAAACCCAATTGAGCATGTTGATTTGAAAAAGGGAAATTGATGAACTATTTATAAAAAGCTTCCTCTAGAAATACCTTAGCCCTTGTGCAATTACTGCCCTTTTGACTCCAATGAAGGATGACATATGGAGGATGTGTGTGATAGTAGAGCTAACAATCAAGTATAGATTCCCTTATACCGAGGCTTAATGACATATTAGACCTTATCTCTGAGGCCAACTACTTTTCCAAGATAGAACTTGAGAGTGATACCACTAAATAATGTTAAAGTCACAATATGAATGGAAATGTCGTTAACTCCAAAGATAATCTCTATGAGTCATTACTTATGCTCTTTGGCATGTCTAATGTCCCTAACAGTTTTATGAGGTTGATAAACACTATTCTAAAAATATATACTGAAAATTACCAATTTATTCATATTCAATCCTGATGATGACGGGCATTTGGAGGACTTCAGGATAGTATTTGAGCATTTAGAAAGGAAATTTTATATCAACATAATTTTTTTTTAGTAGGAAGAGGTGATATCCATGAGATTCATTATATCTATATCTAGCATTAATCCTGATCCCTCCACAATTAAGGAAATCTTAGATTGGCCCACCACAACAAGTTTTATTGAGATTAGAAGTTATAATGTCCTATCAATCTTTTGTAGGAGATTCATCAAAATATTTAGTGTCATTGTTGCTCCTATTACTAATATCTTAAAGAAAGACAAAATGGCTAGGAACTCTAGTGCGTAGAGAGTTTTAGAGCAAATAAATTCTTTATGACATTTGCACCAATGCATAGTCCTTGATTTTTTCAAAAGCATGTAAATATCTTTTGCTGTATATGGTATTGGTATAGGTGGCATCTTAAGCTAAAAAAACCAACAAGTTGCCTTCTATAGTGAGAAGTTGGATTACAAAATAAAAGTACTCCACATATGATATAGAATTTTATTCCATCATTAAGTCTTAAAAATGTTCAAGACATTAACTTTGTATAAAGAATTTATCATACACAATGATCATCATGCCTCAAAATTTATATAAACCCGATTAAAGTTAAATTATAAGCATACTAACTAAGTAGCGTTCCTACAGGATTTTTCATTTATTCTAAAACATAAGCTTTAAAAAGATAGTAAACTGTGGATGCCTTGTTTGGGGTGTTATTATGGTTATCTTCCTTAGAATTTTATATACTTGACTTTGATAGACTTAAGGAAGAGTACCTTGTATGTCCATATTTTCATGCCATTTGTCTAAAACATCTAGATATGACCTTATCATTACATAGCTCTTTTTCAATGATGGATGGTTGTATAGCGGGAAGCAGTAATGTATTCCAAGATCATCCTTAAGCGAATTTCTCATAATTAAGCTTGCATTATGCTGATATAATAGGTTGTTTTTGCAAGAATAAGATAATAATTTGATGGACCATAAATTTTATCAGCCCTAACTAAAGAGATGTTTATAGGTTACAGGCTCAATGTTACACTCGCAAACAAGCCAAAGTCATGAAAAATATATTAAGAAAGTACATTGCATTGCCCATTTCTTATAGACCTTGGGATGATTTGTCTATGAATTTTATCTTACAATTATCAAGGATAGTAAGAGGTCATGATGGCATTTGTGTGTTGGTGGATAGATTCTCCAAGGTGGCACATTTCTTATCTTACTCAAAGACACATAATGCATTACATGGCCTACCCTCCCCTATAGTCATTAGATAGAGATGTGATGTTTGTTTCTCATTTTATGGACAATATTGTGTAAGATGCTTGGTACAACCGTACAACATTAAAATTTTCATTTGCCTTCCACTGTCAAACAGATGGCCACACTAAATTTGTTAACTAGAATTGAAATGCTTAGTCGTAAAGAGTTTGGGCAACTAGAACCTTCATCTATCAACTTTTGAATGTCTACAAAAGTACTATCTCCACCACAAACAAGAAATTATCATTTTGAGGTTTTCTATAGACAAAATCCATATAGATCCAATAATGCAATAGGCGTCCCCAACCATGTAATTTCTAATTCTATTTTATATTCATTAAAGATTTTCAAACCTTTCAAGTTGATGTAAGGAAACATATAGCTGAAAGCATGAAAATCACAGTCATTCTTCCTGAGAATAAGAAAAAGGTGATTATGCATTAGTTTGTATTCACTTGGAGAGATATCCATGTAAAAAATACAAGTAATTATAAACTAGGGCCTTTGTCCCGTACAAATTTTTTTTTTTTAAGTTTGGACTTAATGCAAACCATCTTGATTAGCCATAAGATAAGTTAATTAGTCTATTTTTCAATATTAAGATATTGTTTCATATAAATAAGTTATCCAACCTTAAAATGATGCAGCTAACCCTTTGACTAGAGATCTATCTTACCAATTGCAGTATACTCACCAAAAAACATCTTAGAAGTGTAATCCATCATTATAAAGGTACCTACAAACCAAGTAGGTGATCGTAGGTTCTTAATCAAATGAAAAAATAAGCCACCTACTTAAGAAACAAGGGTCACAAATGTAGACTTAAAAAAGCTTGCACTAGGACTTGTTGAAGAATATATCGAATTCAACATTGCATAATGGAGTTCAAATAGGCCTAGGAAAAATTATTGAAAACTTCAAGCATGATATTATTGGCCCCATCACTAGATCAAGATCAAGAATCAAAAAAAGAGACAAAGGGTTATCATTGCCCCATCACAAGATCAAAATCAAAGTTTCAAATCAAGATCCAAGAGAGCAACATCAATCATATATAATTAAAAAAATCAGAATATCGAAATAAATAAAATTGTACTGATGATTAAAGTTTAAACATTCAAAAATTTAAATTTATTGAACTTCTAATCTTTTTCTCTGTATGGGAGGCCTCTTAATTTTATTTTTTATATTTTTAATTAGCATTAGGCCTTTCCCTCATATAGCCATTTCAGCTCGTCTATACACCGTTAAACCCCTCCTTTAACAGAATATTTCAAGCCTAGTCAATATATTCAAGCTAGATCACCTTGACTAAGTTTGGCTCTTTCCCTCCTCCTTTGGCCGCCAAACCACTTAAATATTCACCAAACACTTCAAATCACATCTAACATTCCCAGGTAATTTCATTTGTTGGATTCCCCATAATAAGAAACCTCATATCCAAATCTCTAAAGAGAGCTATAAGATTGTCCATCACCTTAACCCTTTACTTGATCCCTTCCTCTTAACTACCATCTCCAATATAATTATTCCAACCCCACAAGAGTATTCCACATATTCTTAGCCTCCTAACACAGCAAATGGAAGCCTTGGATCACCCTTCCCAAGACTACATCAAGATTGGTGTAATAAAACATAAAAATATGATGTGTTCAGTCAAGGTAAGAATAATGATTTGAATTTAGTTTATCAAAGTACTTTAAGGCGGAATAATAAATATTACTTCTCATATGATTAACATGATAAATATCAAATCAAACATTTAAAAAACTCCATAAAATTTAGAAAGGAATGACACTTTCAAGTGTTTGACTGCAAGTGGTTTATCCTTACGAATAAGAGCTATAGAGAATTTGATAGTAGATCGGAAAAAGGAATATTTTTAGGATATTCTAATCATAGCAAAACCAATAAAGAATTCAGTAGGAAAACCTTCATAGTATAATAATCCATATATATCACATTTGATGAATCTCAATAAGGATAAACCATTAGAGTTGAAAATCTCAATCAAGATGAGACAAATAAATAAGAATTATTCACCCGCTCTTGAGTTGCTAATCCATCTAGTTACCCAAAAGAACTTGTTATTGGAGATCCATGTCAGAGAAATAAAAATAGAAGAAACTTCAGGAATAAAGTAGATCACTCAGCATACTTATCTCAAATGAAACATTTGAATGTTGAAGAAGCATTAAAATCATTAGTATTGGACAGTAACAATACAAATTAATAAAATCAGTTTGTTAGAAATTATATATGGGAGCTATTCCCAAGACCTACAACCAACATATACTGGGAACAAAGTAGATTTTTAAAAATAAGGCAAATGATTCAGGTGTTGTTGTTAGTAATAAAACTAGCTTGGAAACACAAGGCTAAAACCAAATTTAAGTTATATATTTTGAAGATCATATGCATTAGTAGCTAGAGCCATTAGGTTATTTTTAGCCTTTGCAAGCTATAAATGATTCAAATTATATTTGCTAAGATGGCATTTTTAAATGGATTCATTGAAGATGTGTTTGAAGAACATCCTCCCTCCATATATTTATTAATCATATCCATAAAATCATGCATACAAACTTAAAAAGAGATAAATTGTAGACTCAAGAAACCGAATAGAAATGTGCATGAAATGTTGAGCTCCTTTCTAAATAATTTAAAATTTACCAAAGTAAAGGTAGATGGATACCATCAGTCCATAAAAAGAATGAGAGAAAATATGATTATCAAATAAATATACATTCATGTCATCTTGTTTGGAGTGTGAAACAAATCTTTATATCACAAGTTTGTTATGAGTAAAGAATTTAAAATGAGTTTAACAAGAGAACTTAATTTCTTATTTGGATTATAAGTGAAATAAAAGAAAAAAGGAACTTTTATTTCACAAACCAAGCATACTAATGACTTGATTGCTAAATTTAATATAAAGGATACAAACAAATAGGTATTCCCAAAAGCTCTTAATGAAACTAGATAATGATGACTAAGAGAAATCCACAGATTCAAAGTTGTACAGAGGCGTGACAAGATTCTCATTATATTTGATATCCAATAGTCAGATATTATGTTTGTTGTAGTTCTCTACATTAAATTTCAAGCAAATTCAAAGGACCCTCATTTAACAGTTAAATGAATTTTTAGATATTTAATTAGCACTCTAGATTTAGGGTTATGGTATCCTAAGAATGAACATTCATATAAGCTTGTAGGGTTTCTAAATGCAGATTATACAAGATGCAAAGTTGATAAAAAACAACACAAACATATATCAATTATTATGATTGTCTCTAGTATCTTGGTCCAATAAGAAGCAAAATTCTAATGCGCTATTCACTATAGTGGTTGAGTTGTTTTAGCAAGTAACTATGTCACATAGGTTCTATGGCTAAGAAAACAACTAGAAGACAATGGGATTTGTGTCAATCATATTCTTATCAAATATGATAACAAAAGTACAATATTAAATAAAGACATAGTTCAATTTTCACAAACTAAGCATATAAGAATAAGACATCAGTTCATTAAAGATCACGTAGTTGTAGGTGTTGTAGTAGTAGAGTTTGTGAGTACCGATCAATAGCTTGTTAAAATTATTATAAAACCTTTTATGCAGATTGTTTTTGTTCCCTTACATGATGGTTTGCTATGCTCGATCCAACATAGTAACACAAAAACAAAAATGTTCACAAGGTATAATAGGATAAGTCTCTTATAGTTAACATTTTGATAAAGTTACACATTTCATAAAAAAATGCAAAAAAAAAAATATTTTAAGAGGCTTAATAGACATCAGTTAAGGTTAGTGAGCCTCCACTAAATTAACAGCTACATGCAAAACTTGTCATGTGCATGTTAACCTAAAAAACTACTTTGTATATATTTTTTATGCCAAGTGGACTAAAATTGTCCTCATTAGCTTTGATCACTCAAGTTACCAAGCAAGCTAGATACCATTGACCCTTGACCACATTAAATGCAAAATTAAATCATACTTATAACAATTATAAACTAAACCCTTATTATGGCATCTTGATCTCCTTCCTCTTCATCATCCATCTTAATGTCCAGCCATCGCAAGAGATCAAAACAAATGAGCTTCCTCCTCTTGATCTATGCTAAATGCTTCTCATCCTAATATCTACCAAGCTTCAATTAACCTACCTCATTATATTGACCCATCAAAAGACTTTGGTTGCCATATCATGCAATTGTTTGAGAGCTCTTGCCTATAGATTCTCTTACAAAAAGCATTGCAGTTTAAGTCTAATTTTATCAAAATATTTTATAATAATATGATAGTCAATGACAACCACGCCTATCATACTAAATCTTTTCTTCATAACTTTCCTCTGTCTATAAATCTTGATGCAAATGGACTGGAGTCAGCACTGCTATTCAACAATTCCCCTCAACCATATCATGAGTTTAACTTCCTTATCTTTAAAACGCTATTTCATAAAATACATTCTAAGACATTTCATTTTATAGAAGACAAGTGAATTGAAAAAAAGAAACCCACTTTTTTTTTGTGACATATGTTCTTACACAAACTAAATTTAACATATTTAGTGCTAACTTTCTCATCTTTTGCAGTATTATGTGTTTACAAATCCATCTTATAATAGGACACATAGTTTGGATTTTCGCCATCTAATTGAATTTATTTTGATATCCAAATATCCGAAGTGGTTTTCATTTAAAAAAAAAAATATCGAAAAAGCCTAAAAGATACTTGAGAATTTTCAAAAACAACATGCTTTGTTTTCAATAATTAAAAAAAAAAAAGTTGAAAAGTGCAAACGTCCCCTAAGAAATTATGTCTAATGGTTTCATTTGAGTTTGTGCAGATAAACAAGTTTCACTATTCAAACCAATACTCAACATATGAAGATGGCTCCATAGATTAGGAATATTTTATTTGATCTTCATATGTACAAAACATGTGAAAGAGAAGTCTAAGAAGCTAGCAAGCCCAAAAAAAGAAACTCAAACTATATTAAAATCTAGAAGGGTGTTTTCACCTATTATTATATATTATTTAATACAATAATTAAGGCAATATTTTTAACATAGTTTGAAATATCATATGATCTATTTAATAAACAAATTTTCAAAAATGGGTTATAGAAAATATGAGGAAATCAAAATATGAAATTTTGAAAATGTTTGCTCTCTCCATTAAAGTTTACTAGCTTTCACAAACGCATTGTGCCTGTTCAATATTGAGACAAAAAATTGACCTAAAAAATTAATTATTAGTATGCCTCCATAATGAATTGGACCAGCGATATATGGAGGCTTACTAATTAAGCATTAAGGCTTGTGAAATTATTCATCAATTGAAGCAAAATTAATTATAGCAATCCTTCTAATTCAACCCCCTCTTGAGCCACATGTAAAACTATCACAAGAGACTACCAAAGAAAAGTAACATTTTCTTTGTTTTACCTACTTTGAGGACAACATTTCTCAAGTAAACTCTCTACCCTAAACTATTCTCTTTACAATACTGTGAAAACTCTATTCATGAAGTACATTAATAAGGTAACTGATGATTGGATGCTCGAGATGAAAGGGGTGATTATAGAAGGTGATAGTGCCAGTATCATCAAGCATATGCAAAAATTAAGGAAGCATGAGTGGAAAGATTGACCACAGGAAAGTGGTTAGTTTGGCTAGATGAAGATGTTCCACTCAGTTTTGTTTGTACATTTGCCGAGATGTATTAAAGCTGTCCATTTTTTGTGCTCAGAGGGTCATAGAGGAACAATTCTTTTGGAAGATTGAAGATAATGATTCTTTGTATATACCTCAATAATTTATTGATATTCCTGAGGAGGATTGTTGTTGTTTTCTGTTCATTCTTAGGGGTTGTTTTGGCCTTAGGTTTCTTTTTGTTTCCTCTTGTGATTGTTGATTGTAGAATGCAATATATGTTATGTATTCAGGAGTACTAGAACCTTGAAATAAAAATAGGAAGAAATTCAATAACATTCATTTACCATCAAACCAACTATTGGCAAAAATTAAATAAAGAGTATAACTAAACAAACCTGTCATAGCTAGAGCCAATTAGTGGAATTGTGACCATCTCATCCTCATATATTTTGAGCTTTGGTGCTTGCAAAATATACCGAAGCTCTGCAGCTTGGCGTCTGATGCTAACACTAGGGTGCTTCTTCTCTAATTGTTGATAGAGAGCAATGCAATCCCTGTGTCTATTGTTGGCCTCATAAGCCATTGCAAGCCAAATTTGAATCTGAAATGTAAGAAAGAATTAAGAAAAACTTCTAAATTTTAGTTGCAAGCATAAGTAAACCTATTATCATTATAGTCAGACTTATTAAGTATAAATGACATCTTGAGGCTAGACTAATACTTCAATTCCACAAAAAATGATTTAATTATAGCTTGCATCAGAATACATCTACAAATACTAGATAAGACATATGAACATTTCCGATGGGCTTTGTTTGGCAATGATTACATTTACAATATTCAAAAGTTGCCTACATTGCAACATCCATCTACTATTATATAAGAAAACTAACCTTCAAAAACTGCATCAACCCATCCAAAATATTTGCCTTCATCGCATGAAGAACATACAAAAACATAAGTCGACGAAAATTAAAGTGACAACTTCCTCTTCTATAAACCACAATGAAAAGGAATAAGTTTATGCCTCTAATCGCTAAGCTATTAGAAGTGAAAACTTCCACTTCTATAAACCACGATGAAAAGGAATACATTTATGCCTTTAATCACTAAGCTATTTGCTGAGTTGTTGAGCCAAATTAATGCCTTATAGAAAAGTCCTAAATAGAAATAATACACAGACCAAACTCAAAGTATGATTGCGGAGAGGGATGGTAAGGGAGAGGGAAGCCCCATTCGAAGGGCTTGTGGGAGAAGACCCAAAAAAAACAATATTCACAAATTGTTTCATTAAGGATATTTTTAGGGATTTCACATATAATTTCAATTGCCTTCTATTTTCATTATAAAAAGGTGGTGTCATTATTAGAGTTTCAACACAATAGACTTAAAAAAAAAAGTAGAGAATGCATGACACTGCATTTCTCCAGCAAACACTTCACCAACTTCACAATGTGGAAACTAAAGTACAGAAACAAGAAGTAGACACAATGAGGCGGACCTGAATAAAAACTTTAAATGTTTTTTTGCATTGATTTTCTTCTAACTATTTACTCTCAGTGATTTCAATTAGATCATGAACTAATTCCCTTGCATAAAATAATTGATCTAGTATCAGTTCTTGTAGATAATGACAAATCAGTTTTAAGAAAAAGCAACGAAATAAGAAAAAGATAGCATATCGTTGAAACAGAAAGCACCTCACCTAGAGTATATAAACCTTTACACGTTGGATTTCAATATAACAAATCATAATCTGGTATGCTACTATTAGGCTCACAAACATATAGCAGTTCAGAAATGCGTCACAATTCTCTTCGAAGTAGTCCAAAAAATGAATCAAGATTTTAACAAGGACTAATAAAATCACCTCTCCACCAAAGAGTGTTGGCCTAGGGATAATGGTGAGAGCTGCTTCTAAAAATTCGATGGCCCTGGAATACATGCCCTTGCCATATGCCTTTTGTCCCAGCTCAAACATTAGCTTGGCCGTCTCCCTCCGCTCCGCCTGCTCCTTGGCCAGCTACTCTTATAACAAATATAATAAAATGGACAAAAAGTAAACAACAAATTCTTCAATCTGTATTTTTAAATCCGACTAAATCATTTAATTGTATCGTGAATCGAAGAAGCGACCGACCTTCTCGAGCTCACGACGGACGCGCTCGCGCTTTTCCTCCTCGCTCTCGTCCTCGCCGCCCCCCTCGCCCTCCTCTTCAGCAGCGTCAGGGGCGCTGCGGCTCTGAAGCTCCTCAGCGCGCCTCTCAAGCTCCTTCATATCTTCCAGTTCCTTCAGCCGGTTGAGAAGCTCTTGTTCCCAATCCCCCCCGCCGCCACCACCGGAAGGGGGTGAAGGTGAGGAAGAGGAGGCTGTGGCCGGACCCAGCATGGTTTTCTTACGGCGGTGAATCGGCAGAGGCGGTGTTGGGTGAGACGTCTCTCCTCCGGTGGCGAGGAGGGATGGAAGATAGGACTTGGATACCGCGGCTTCCGGCCGACGCCTCTCCGCCGTCGTACTCGTCGTCACTATTGATGGCGTATCTCGTTTCCTAGAAGGCAAAGCGGCTTCAGGGAGGAGAAGCGCGAGGTTGGTTAAAAGAAGCGCCGCAGCCATTCTCGCTCGAGGTGAGATGTGGGCAGCGAAGAAAACCAGAAGATATTTTTGCTTCGGGCTTTGAGGCTTGCGGGAGGAGAGACGGCATCTGCTTTTTCCTGTAAGAAAAAACAGAACTGGAAATATGTAAAGCGGCGAGTTCTACTTCCCTTGCGTGCGCCAACTCTCCAGGCTTTTACGTGCACGAATCGGCTGAGTGGCTTGAGTTTACCGGTTCGCAATCTGGACAAATGGGGTCATTGGATTTTAATAAAATATTAACATGTGAAGTGATATATGGATATTTAATTTGATTTATTTTTTTTAATTTACATATCTAATGTGTTTGTAGAATTTTAAGCCAATCGCATCAAAAGCACATTAAAGCACAATAAAAGAGCTTTCAGAGCAATGAAAGCGCACCTAAAATACAACTAAAACGCAATAAAGCGCATAAAAAAGTACGATCAAAATGTACTCCACGTATTAAGTTTTAAGTCGATGTCCGGACATATCCTTTGTCCGCACCTAATAATATGGCCATTTCGGAACCTCCTAAAATAGACTTTTTTATAAAAAAAAAAAAAAAAAACCTAGAATAGATTGTTGTTATGCATTTGCATTTGGCAGTTGAGTGTGCATATAAATTCAGCTTAAATTGAGTCAATTAATATCAGAATCATTAAGAACTCCCCAGTTACAATAAGTTCATCATAAGAACATATTCAGCTTTAAGAAACTATTTGTTTGCATTCATTTACAATGCATTCATTTACAAGTCGACGACTTGCTCCAATCAACCAGCAACATTATGGTGCAAGTCTGGTACTTCAATTGGTTATAGCTCAATTAATCGACAAAGGCAAAGCACCTAACAGAGTTCAAAATTATTAACATATCGCCAAAGAATCTTGTCTCCCTCCCCAAGCAAATGTTAAGTAATATCCCAATTGACTGATGAATTTTCAAGAGAAATCTCGATGGCAAAGCGCCTGACAAAGTTCAAAATTATTAACATAGACTCCTATAGTGGAACGATGAATCATGCAGATCATATGGCTTATTTTGAATCAGTTACATCCTTGTTATATGTGAACGATGCATTAAAGTTTACTTATTTTTTACTACTTTCAAGAAGTCACCCCTTAAATGATTCTTGTGCTTTCTACTAGGGATAATAACATATTTTATCAGTTAAAGAAGCGATTCATGTATGACCCAAAGTCGATGAAGAATTCTCATGCCTTACTTTAAAAATGATTCAAGAGTTAGGTTCTCCCTAAGAAACCTCATTATGAAGTTTCAACTAAAAAAGCTAGAAATCAAAGTTCTAGAGCAATAAATGGCTCAAGCTGCTCTCACTCAAGGATTGCATGAGGGATTCAATGTTTTCAATGTGTAACAATTGAGGACATTGATTGATTTACTTGAACTCGTCAACATTCACATCAATACCGAAGAGTATAATAGAAGTTAAATAAGACCTAGAAAAATTTGGAATACGTATATTTATTTTTAATTCAATTTGATTTTATTTGATCTTATTAGTTTTGATTTTAAGTTTTTTTAATTGATTCAAGTTTATGTGATTAACTTTTCTAATGTTGGACAGTGCATACTGTAAATTTTTTTCTCAATTCTCAATAGTCAATCCTTTATAACTTTAGATTCCACTGCTCCCTTGAATAAGGGTGGCTTCAACTTGTGAAACATTTATAAGTGTTTATCTTCTTCTGTGCCCTTACTCGCACCCTACTTACTTTGTACATCACTCATAATCTTCACTAGTAAATTGGCAAATTGTATCATGCTATCAAAAGTGATAGGAGCAACTACACTATTTTTTTAGCACATTATGATCGTGGTCCATTTATTCGCTGGTACTATTTTCTTCCTAATTAGGCAAATACACATGCTTAACGTTCATACATATGTAGCTAATCAATTTTGTAAAATAACAAAATATATGCTACCCATCTCTATGATGCTCATAATCTTTCCTAAAGCTCTAGTTAACAATCCAATTCTTTCAAAAGCTATTGCTCTAATACCAAGTTATGACACCCCAAGATCTAAATTGAAAAGAATTATTGTTTCTTTTTTATCTTCTTAATCATTAGCTAGAGCTTACTAATTTCATCCATATAATATAATCAATAGAAAACATAATTGCATTACTACTCATCTGAATATTCACATATTTTACATAACCCAAAAATCATTGTATACATTAGTCATTTTATCGAGATAACTCCAATTATTCATTCAACAAATATGACTGCAAAAATAAAGCAAAAAATATAAAAAAATATCTAACCCCCAGATCCTAATCAACCTCAGTTCATTGGATTCCTACCACGACCTGAAAACATGAAAACAACCATAGAATGAGCACAAAAACAAGTATATTATCATAATATATTACTAAAATCAATACACATTATACATAAATAATATGCATCAAAACATTCATATATATCTCAATTGAATAATCACATGAGAAATGATTAATGAGTTATAGATATGTGGTTTAACATAACTTTTAAATTCATTATTATTTATTTTATAGGATGATTCATATCTTGGTCTTATTGGTCTTATCATTTTCTCAATATTTACATGATATACATGTATTCATGTCATATGAATTCATATCTTGTTTCATTATACAATATAAACATTTATAGACTCTTGGTCATTAATTATAATTCTTATATCTTATAAAAATATTGTGTGTAACTTACTCCAATCTTGTATAGTTATAGCTCTCATATCTTATATCTTGGGTTGGGTATTTTATTCCAATTAATGCCCAATCAATCTACAATTGTTTACACATACATATTCCACTTATTTTCATCATTAGTTGGTGTAGATGAATGCATTATCATAACATGTATATTTGTATGTCAAAATAGAAAATTTTTCAAATTCTATACATGTCATATATGCCAATAAAAAATCCTTCCTATACCCTCGACACAAAAAATCATATATGTAATTCAGACATGTGAAATTTCAATATGATATTACGAAAAGATTCAAGAAGTTTATATTTACAACATATAAGAAACTGCATGATGAAAGTTGCTTAAATATAGAAACATGGACACTTTGGCAAATTCAAGAGATAAAATATAGGAAATAAATATTATTGAAAACAGAAGTGAGATTCATGTTATCTGCCATGATTAAAAGAAGTTTTAGAATAGGTCTAATAGATAGAAGTGCCCATAAAACTTTCTCTCTCTCTCTCTCTCTCTCTCTCTCTCTCTCCTCTCTCTTCCCCGATGACACATCTTGGCCTGATTTATCCTTGTAAAATTGGTCATTCTTCTTAGTTAATGCAGTAAATGGCCAATACATGCTAAAAGTATTGGAGATGAAAAGCCTAAATAAAGCAAGCTTTCCTAAAAGGGTTATCAAGTGTATTATAATAGCTCAAACTCTTAACCATCAATATATTGTCCGCTTTGGCCTAAGGGCCTCATGGTTTTGTCATATTGGTGTAACTTCCCAGAATGTCACCTATCTCAGGATCTCTCTAGGATGAACAAGCTTAATTGCGAAGTTTATTAAATGAAATTTCAACTATTGCACCAAAATGCGTCTCGATGTTTAAGAGTTTATGTTTTTTACTTAAGGTGCTTCATAATCTCCCAACTTAATTAACTGGTGCCTATATCAACATCTTTATCCCATAATCATCCACCAGGAAGGGATTCTAGAGGTGGCCCCTATGTTCAAGTGGTGACTCCCACCACGTAGCACTTTGTCCTATATAGTGTTCAAGAGGTGGCTTCTATGGCATTCTTGTATGACACTTGGTTCCCATCTTCAAACTGCTATATTGTTGTGATACTAATTATAACATCCCAAACTCTTAACCATCGAGGTATTGTCTACTTTGACCTAAGGGACTCACGATTTTTTCATATTGGTGTAACTTCCCAGGAGATTACTCTTCCCAAAATTTATTTAGGATGAGCATGCTTAACTACAAAATTTATTAAATGAAATTCTGACCGTTATACCAAAAGGCGCCTCGATGTTTAAGAGTTTATCTTCTTTTATTTAAGGAGTTTCACAAGTTTCAAGCTTCTTTATGGTTCCATTTCTTGAATAATTTTTTTATTGGATTAATCTAGATTCCCATGTGACGGATAATGAACCCTAAGAACTTTCTTAAATAACTTCTTAAGGCACATTTTAAAGTATTCATTTTTAACCCATTCTTTTTAATGCGACATAATATATTTTTCAAACATGCTATATGATGATTAATGATCTTATTTTTCATGATGATATCATCAATATTACAATCAACCTTATATCATAAAAGATCATCAAATATATATTTGTGTCACGGAGCCTTAATATGTCACTCCGTTAATTTTTTTATTGGATACTCCGTTATTTCATGCCTACCGCCCATAAAAAATTTTAGTATCAAATACATCACTCATATATTTTATTCATACCACTCGTGACATCATATATATTTTAATATTTCATTCATTGCATCCATATTTAATCTATGAGTGATAGACATAAAATATTAAAATTTTGAATGTTTGATATGTAAATAGCCCGATATAAAGTAATATGTATGTAAATCCTCCTATTTATAATTGTAACCTATTAACATTAATTAAAATTAAATTAATAAGTAGCTCATATTTAAAATATAAATTAAATTGAAAATATAAAAGAAAAAAAATCAA